GTGGACTTGTGGAAACACTGTGTGTGTGTGTGTGTCCCATTTTGACTGAGCGCTTTCTCTCTGCAGGGCAAAACCTTTAGCATCTGGAAACTGAACGACCTCCATAACCTGGAAGTGTTCGTGTCTCTTCTGCTTTTCGGCGAAGTCCACAAAGAGCACTGGAAGACAGAGCCGGGCACTGTCATCGGACTCCTCAACCCGAACCCCATGAAGCAGAAAGAAGGATATGACGGGGTGAGTGTCAGTGGACAGGATGTACAAACAGTAGATAACAACGTGTGCCCTATTGGTCATAGCCTTAATGCTTCCTAACTGTCAGCTGACTCCAGAGAGTGAACCCTTGTGTTGAACATGTGCAGGTGAGCCTGACCGTGGATAACCCTCAGAAGCTGCTGCTGTTGGGGGAAGCTCAGGACTACGGCACCTGCAAGGCCATGAAGAAGAACGGAGACCCCTGCTCTCAGATGATCAACCTGGTATGTGTGTGTTAGGGGTGGGAATCACCAGGCTCCCCACGATACGATACTATTGCGATACTTAAGCCACGAAACGATAGTATTGCGATTCTACGATATGATAATTATTGCGATACGATATATTGCGATATATATATATATTTACATCTTTGTTTTGACTAACTTCCTGCCAATCCCACTGACTTTACCCATGGCCGTGACCGCACAAGAAAAAACTCAGCACTATCTAGTGGATTGAATAAGCAAATATATAATAAAATATTGATACTTGGCGTCCGTGTATAGATACAATATCGCGATACTATGCTGTATTGATTATTTCCCCCACCCCTAGTGTGTGTGTGTGTGTGTGTCGGTGTCTTTTTGTGTTGTTAGTATTGGCTGACACTCGTCTCGGTTTGTTTTCAGTTTGAGTGCCAGTACTGCCAGTATCACGTGAAGGCCCAGTATAAGCAGATGAGCTCAAAGAGGGCCGAGCTGCAGTCGGCATTTTCCGGAAAAGCTCCCAACAAGATGAAGGTGAAGGGGAAGGGGGGGAGCCTGAAGGAGCGGCTCTGTCAGGACGGCTTCTACTACGGCGGGGTGTCCTCCTCCGCCTGCGCCGCCTCTTTGTGAGTGATAATACTTTGTATATTTGGTCATTACCACCCTGTTTTCTACAACACATTCATTTTGCACTTGGCAAGAATATTCCAAAGCCAGGAAAACAGTTCTTTTTACATTCTTTAACTGGTCTTTGTGTTGCAGATCGGGGAACAAAGGCACCAAAGGGACTCAGAAGACTCTGGACAATCTGTTTGTGAAAGGCTCGGCTAAGCAGCTCCATCAGGCCAAGAGGCTGGGTGAGACTCCCACACTGCACCAGCCTCTATTTCAATCCCTGCCATACACTTCTCTCTCTGACTTGAGGTTTACCGCCTCCAATGAGCCATCTTTGCACAAGCTTTAGTTATTATCTTGACAATGACCGAGAGGAGAGAACGCTGAACTTATGGCTGTTAATAATGTCTTCCTGTCTTTGATTTATTTAGCCCTTCAGTCCGGGGAAGTTTCAGGATGTTCAACTGAATTTAAGAGCCTGCTGTCAACGCCGACACCCGGAGCTCTGCAGCTGAAGAAGCACTTGGTACAAGGCAACCAATCAGGTACATGTGCCTTATGAAAACCTCAAAATGTACAGTACTGTCTGAATGTTTACCCCAAAATAAATTGGCTATTGAAGGTCGCCCTCCATTTTTAACAACCATTTCAGACCTCAACTCACTTGTATTTACTATAAAGAACTATAATAAATCATATATGTTTCTCTGAGATGACAAACTAGACCAAATCGTTTAGATATACCATCTTTAATCTGAGCACTAAATCATACAAACACAAGATGCTCATTTGAATCTCTTCACGATGTTTATTTAAAGAGTTGTCAATATTAATAATGTTAATAATAAATTGCTCAATTTTTTTAACCGTGTGGTCTATCTTCAGCCTCCAAAAACGGAGCTTCACCTCAGCTTCAGTCCATCACAGCCTCCTCCCTGCTGAAGGAGCAGAAAGCGAAGCAGCGGGAGTTTCTGCAGAGCCGCCTGCGGAGGGCCGATCAGATCCAGAAGAAGGTGCAGAGCTCATTGGCCCCCGGACCCTCCTCCTCCTCCTCCTCACTGACGTCCCCCAAAGCAGCCTCTGTGGCCCCCCGGAGCCCTGCCACTCCCCACGCCCCGACCCTGGGCCGAGGCTCCTCACTGACGTCTCCCAAAGCAGCCTCTGTGGCCCCCCGGACCCCCGCCACTCCCCAGGCCCCGACCCTGGGCCGAGGCTTCTCCGAGGGGGAGGACATCCTCTTCTTTGACGGCAGCCCGCCCCCGGCTCCCGCCCCCAGCGCTCTCAGCCTATCAGCCGCCAAGATGGCTGCTCTGAGGAAGCTGAAAGCCAAAGGGGCGGGGCTTAAAAAGGAAGACCCTAACGCTGTGAAGAGGAAGAGGACCAACAGCAGCGAGATCAACGCCAGACTGGAGAAGAACCAGACCTCAGCCGAAGGTACACAGCCACCGTACATCTCTGTTACACATATTGTGCACATTATCCAGCTTTTAATACGGCTACATACTGAGTAAAGCAATCATTTGACACAAAATATTTATTAAAAATTATTTATCTGATTTGATAATGATTGATGGATTCCCCTCGGTATGAGAAAGTGTTCCATGAGTATCTGAAAACAAACGTTTTTTTTTCTTCATAGCTGTCTTTTTTTTTTAATTGATTTGAGTGTACCTGTGTCTGTAACAGCGATCTGCTATATAGAAATAACACTTAGACCAATCAGCATTCTGTATTCAGCCAAATCGAATGAAAAATATCCATAACATCGATTTGATTTAAGATCATTTCTATGGTACACTTGCATTGCCTAACTTCAAGGCCTGTAGTGATGCGCAAGTTTCATATATATAATATCCGTTGTAAAAAATCAACACTTTTTGAACAATAAAGTATATAATTGTGCTTGTTCTTACTGTGCAGCTGATGAGGAAGAGGAACCGGCTGAGAAAAAGAAGCGAGATCAGCTCCAGTACATCCAGTCAGACGAATTTCAAAAGATCCTCAACGCCAAATCTCGCCATGATGTTGCACTGCAGGCGGTACGTGTTATATGTGATGAGTGTTGTGTCTGTTTTGATTATATTCTTTTTGAGGTCTTTTCTGCAAATCCAGCTGTATTTCTGCATATAAAAAGTGAAATGTGTCCTCTCAGGCGGAGTACCAGATGCAGGAGAGCTACTTTGATCCTCTGGTGAAGAAGGAGCAGATGGAGGAGAAGATGAAGGGCATCAGAGAGATGAAGTGTCGCGCAGTTACCTGTAGAAAGGTACTGGCTTTCAACCTATTTGCTTCAAACATGTATAAACACGTATATGTAATGTTGCTGCCTTGGTGTACTAACCATAAACGCAAGCATGGTGGAAATGAAGCTGTTATTTACTTCCCATATTCCCTCGCTTCCAGTGTAAGTACACCTACTTCAAGCCAGCGGATCGTTGTGTAGAGGAGAACCACGATCTGCGGTGGCACGATGCCACCAAGCGGTTCTTCAAATGTTCCTGTGGACAGAGATCCATCGCTCTGGACAGACTGCCAAACCAAGACTGCAGGTAAAAATCTTAACGTCATGTTCTTTCACTGAAACAAAATGAACACTAGAACTAACTCTGTTTCACCATTTCAGTAACTGCGGCCTGTTTAAATGGGAGCGTGATGGGATGCTGAAGGTAAACATCTTTCTGACTCTCACATTGTCTCATATTGTGTGAAAGAAAACACACTGATGTTCTGGTCATGTTTTTCTTGCAGGAGAAAAAGGGGCCGAAGATCGCCGGAGAGCTTCTCCAGCCTCGAGGAGAGGAGCACGGAAGGTTCCTCAACAGCAATTGACAGCAGCAGGATATCTCTTTTTTAATTTTATGTATCATATTTGTATTTGTGTGAATTATGTTTTTAACATTTTATTTTGATCTTGATGAAGATTTGAATGACAAATAAGTCGATTAAAGCTTTGAAACATGTCACGTGAAATGCTTGTTTTTCTTCTCAGGAGATAGAATACTGTAGTAAATTGGTTCGGGTGCAGATCTGGAAGTATGAAACCATATCATATTTAAAGAGGAGATATGCTAATTTTCAGATTCATATTTGTATTGTGTGCCTCTACTGGTCACTTTAATGTTCAAAAAGGTCTTTTTTTTTCTGCAGCACCACTTTTCACCCTCTGTCTGAAACCAGAGCCCAGTCTGCTCTGACTGAGTAGCTGTGAAGCTCTGTTGTGATTGGTCAACCGCTAAGTAATGTCCCGACCCTTAGCCTATTATGTACAATATGTTAAAGCACTACCCAACAGAAGCGCAAGTTTTTTTATTTAGACCTGCAGGGAAAGACCCAAAAAGCCTAATAGGGCCCCTTTAATAGTACGATGAAGCCATTTCTACATTTTGTGACTGAATAATGTTTCTTCTCATGTTTCGAGCTGCTGTCTGAGGTAGGAAACACTTTCAGCAATCTAAATCAACAGCTTTTTCTTTCAAGTCCTCTTGCTGTAGAGTCATTACAATTAAGAAATCACACAATGCATTACTGTCATAAGGTATACACCCACGCAATTGAAAGCACTTGTATCACTGGTTGTGTTTATGTGAAGGGATGTGTTGTATCACAAGCCCCATACATCAAACCTAAATGCAGCATTTACAATCCTCTCCTGCATCCAGTGTTGAAAGCTTACCTGAGAAATGTAGGAAGAATAATGACATGCAGATTAGGCAGGTTGCTTTAAAACAAAAGTAATTCTTGATTCTATCAGTAAGGAGTTATGTCATTACTGGAAGCTTTGTGAATAGTAAGCACAGAGGGCGATGACACATGGTTTATTTTGCGTTTATTATCCGATTTTTTTCCCTCCTTTTCCTCCTCTGACTTGGCTCACTTTCATATTTCCACTCTGAAATGTGGAATCAGCCTGATGATTTCTGCAGCTCTCCTCATCTTTTCCTTTACTCCACACCGCCTCCCTCCCTTTAAATACTCCACATACCAGACAGTGCTAAGCTAAGTAAAAACACATCAGTGGCCTGGAATCAGGAAAGTCATTTTGACTCAGACAGTTTCTTTTGGCTCTTAAAGTAAGAGTTTGTTTTGTTGCTGCTACTGCAACCGACTAAAAATAAAGACAGGGCATTGTGTTGCTTAAATGTAAAAAAAATGCAGTAAATACAAGCATGCACAGCATAGAGACTACATTTAATATGATAAAGTGTGGCCTTTAATACAAAAACTGTGCTTATTATATATTTAACAGTTTTCATGGAGATACATATTGAACAATTTTGTTACAAATAAGAAGTAAAAAAATTATTTATCTTGTTGATGAAAGTAGGAAAACAGACACAACTTTGGTAGTTTACTCTGGTACAGGTGATGTCAGTATTATCAATATACTCTAGTACAGGTGATGGCAGTACTAACAGTATAATTTTGGTACAGTTGATGGCAGTATTAGCAGTACTTTCAGTACACTCTGGTACACTTGATAACAGTATTAACAGTATACTCTTGTGATTGCAGTAGAGACAATACTAGCAGTATACTCTGGTACAGTTGATGACAATACTAGTATACTGAGGTACAAGCAATGACAGTATTAGCAGTATACTCTAGTACATGGGACGGCGGTACTACTGCGGTACAGGTGAAGACAGTATTAGCAGTATACTCTGGTACAAAGGACGGCAGTATACTGTAGTACAGGTGAAGGCAGTATGAGCGCTCTCAGTGGAACCAGTAGTACTGAGGAGAAAAGCCGTCGTAGTGATACTCTCGATACTGCTCATTGGTCTCCCTCGTTCTCTCATTTTGCTCTGTGGATACAAAAGTAGAAGTGTCTCAATATCAATATTTGTATATATGACAGGGTTTGATCGTAGTGAGAATTATCAGCAGACTTTGCAGTTCTACTCTTATAGGAGCTTTGTAACGTCTGTGAGCTATTTTTATTTATTTTTTAGCCAACTACTTTACTGATTTGTTCACTCTCACCACCCTCATCAGTATCTACAGCGACAGCAGGGAGCTTTTTAAGGCGAAAAATCTCAGTCGAATACACTATCTGCTACATGAGATTCAGTATCGGTGAAGTCGGTTTTATGAGTAGGCTTCCTAATAGGTAATCACTCCTCAACCATATGGCCAAATTTTATAATCAAGCATCGTTAGATAAAAGCAAACTTTGAATCATACCTATAGCACACTAGGTTTTCTACAGGTAATTGCACATATTGTGGAGTTCCCCAAGGCTCCATTATGGGGCCTCTTCTATTTTACATCTTCGTGCTTGCCCTTTCTCCAATTGCAGAAAGCAACAAAATAAGTTACCAGAACTACGCAGACCACACACACATTTACATAATCATTTAACCCTTACAGTATGACAATTTTAGCCAAGTCTGAAGGTCTCCAAAAACACAAGTGTATAATTTGGTGTTCGTGTCTGGGAAGACCCGGCAGAATTGTTGTGGGTGACTCGGGGTCAAATTTGGCCCAATCAAGATTCATCTTTGACTTTAGACACCCCACCCCCTTCATCCACTGTAACAATAATTTGTTCGCAACATGCACCTGGTCTGCCATCCCTCGGCCCCCCTCCCCCCACGGGAACTCAACCTTTCTCAAAGAATATGTACACTAACACTTGAACCTGAACACACACATGCACGTGTGCAATATGTGGTGTAATGTGTTTTGGGGCCATCAAATAAAATTACAACAGGATTGTACGGTTATGAATGCATAATAAGTTAGTTATGATGTAGTTAAAACAATATTGGATGATAGTCATTATTTTTGAGTGTTTTGGACTGAAATAAATCATGGGTCAAAATTGAGCCGCGAACACCATGAACGGTAACAGCTTTCGAACACAAGACAAGGGTTAAGCAGGGTTCTACGCTCTAACACTAGTACTAAATTAGTGCATTGAACACATCAATAATCAATGAGAAATATTCCCCTGACATTGAAAGAAAAGCAGCACAAAGACCCAACAATCTAGAGTTTTTTTTATATAAAGGTTTTTGCGAGAATGTGCTCTTATGTAATGTGACCAATAAGTGTTCCATGGCCATGTGGAGATATTTTTGTTTTCTTATAACATCTCTTTGACCCAAAACAATGTATCTCAGAACTAAACACATATCTTTGTGGTTAGCAAGTCTACGTTTAGAAGCTGTCGCTGCATCTTTATCACAGCAGACCGCAGGAACACTGTCGGCTTAGGCTGGACCACAAATGGACACTTTGGTTTCTCTGAGATCCACACACTCCATGTGTTATTTTGTGAGCCCTCCTGTGGCGACTGGCACGTAAATCTTGTGTTTACTGACATGAAGTCCATGCTTCATGTTTCTCCAGTGATGGAACACCTTCCTCTGTCGCTCTCCCTGCGGTTTCTTTCATATTCCCTGGTTGATTGTTGGTTTCGTTGGGGAGTTTTATCTCGTGCGATGCAAAGATCTAAAGACAAAAGGTGTTGTGTGCTGTAGAGATTCTAAAGCCCCCTGAGACAAAGATGCAATTTGTGATTCTGGACTACATAAATACAATTAATCAATTGATTGATTGATGGTAATGTTAAATGTTTGTATTTGTCGTCCTCTGTGAAAGGGGTGAACATACTGTTTTTTCTTCATTATTTCAAGAAGTTGGAATTAATTAAAGTTTTTTTGTCAATAAAGCATTATGTCTGTACCCTCATATTCAAGAGGAAAGCATTAAACGGATAGTAGTTGTAGGTCCAGGTCTCACCATCACGCACCTCCTCCACGTAGTGCTCTTGCTCAGTCCTTTGCTCCTCGTTGTACTCCCTTCTCTGCTCACTTGCAGCAATCTTTACCCTCTGCTCGACTGTGGAAAGGAAAAGGGAAAGAAATAAGAGCTGAGCCAAAAATGTCTCTAGAAGCCTGCTCCAAGATGAAATAACAAGCACAGACTGAAGAGATCTGCAGGCGTTACCTAGCTAAAGAGTGATTGTTTGAAATGTTATTTTGGTGAAAGAGTATGAAAGTCAGTTCCTGAAACATTTGATATATTCTGTGTATTTGTTCATTTGGTTTGAAGTATAATGGTCTGTCGTACTGATGCTGGCAGTGGAAGAATGAGCTTATTGTATTGAGAAACTGAGAGAGGGAGAGCTCGCTCCATACTGCCCTGTGACTCCTTCTGCAGCCTGCTGTGTGTGTGTGTGTGTGTGTGTGTGTGTGTGTGTGTGTGTGTGTGTGTGTGTGTGTGTGTGTGTGTGTGTGTGTGTGTGTGTGTGTGTGTGTGCGTGTGCGTGTGCGTGTGCGTGTGCGTGTGCGTGTGTGTACCTTATACTACTCTATTTTCTACTTACTATACCATACTCTTTTGTTATACATCTCTTGAACTTCAGCCTGCAAGCATCAAACCATATCATCCTCAGAGTCCAAATTCCAAACCATTAAACCAACACTGAACACACAAACACACACACACACACACACACACACACACACACACACACACACACACACACACACACACACACAGCACACGCACACGCACACGCACACGCATGCACACACACACAAACACATATACTGGCTTCGGTACGGAAGGCCAAACATGCCATATAATTGTGTGTGGCCACATCAGCCACACATACCACAATATATAAATACATTTAAAAGTATAAATAAACATATTCAGACCAACCTCTTTACCCATGATCCTTATGGCTTTCTGCCAATAAGGTGTCAGACAGCACAAAGTATTTTTTCCTGGCGATAACAGTTTTTAATCAGATAGCTTACTTTGGATCTCGTAGTACCGGGATGAGCGGCGACTGCGGCGTTTGATGAAGCTGGATGCGTCTGACTCGGGCATGAACACCTGCCCTGCTGCACCTAAAAGTCAGAGGTCAGAAGGTGAAGGTCAGGTAGAAAGGAAGTTTGTGAAACCGGTCAAAAAACATGTGTCACCTTTGTGATCGAGTGGTTTTGAGTGGTCCTTGACTGCTGCACTTTCCACCTCACTGGAAACTGAGGAGAAGAAGAAATGTTAATTTCATGCCTTTAGACTAAAGCACTTCACACTAAATTGCATCTAAAAGTGTTTGTGTGTACTTAGATTTAGAAATGTACAATCTTTGAAATCTTTGAATTTGCAACAGTATTTTTAAAAATCATTGGCTTATGACATTTTTTTATTTGTTTCCCCAATGTTAAAGAAGACCATGCAAACCTCATGTATGGTGCTGCCCACCCTATCTATATCTATTGTTGTAATAATGCCATGTTTACTGAGAGGTCACAGCTGTCCTCTTGAGGACTACTGGAAATCTCTTCATTTTTAATGACTTAAATCTTTGATGCAATTCAATTTGAAAATCAGTATGTATTGAACAAATTGACTTTTAGAACTTTTACAAAAGTTTTACAAAGTAATTTCCATTGAGCCCTATTCCTCTTAAATTACAAATGCTGGCTACTATTAAGCTGACATTTGCAAATAAATAGGGAATTTAATTTAATTCAAAAATACCCTTAAAAGGTCAAAAGCAACAAAATAGGCGACTACCAGTTTTATCCACTGGTTAAGAAGGACTGCACCTATTCTCAAAACCTTGCTTATCTTCCTTGAGAATGTATAATCCAAAATAAAAAATCCTGTCCCTGTTGTCCCCAACCCAGGTACTCACAGAGGTGGAGGAGGAGGAGGGCGGGGAGCAAGGAGAGCACGAAGACTCGGGTCCAGGACATCTTGTGACAGAAAAGTAAGAACTCTATACTTCACAGGACACCTAACAGAACTGAATCGAGAGAGGATGAGGGACGAAGGGAGGAAGGTGGGAGACAGTGGGAGGAGGAATAGAGACCCAGAGAGGGAGGAAGGCTGCTGCTGCTGGATTATCACATGCCCAGGGGAGAAGAAGGAGAAAACAGGGAGGAGGGATGGGCTAAGGTGTAGTAAAAAAGAACGAGAACCAGATGGAAGTCTGAGTACCTTACAAGAGAGAGGACAAAGACATCATGTCCAATGTCCTTTTTTATTTATGTAAGCTTTCAGATCTTAAAAATATGCATGGTAGCCAATCAGGTAGCAAAGATTCATCGTGGATGTTGATAGCCCTCTGGTGCATGTAGGATGTTGTTAGCAAGAAAAGAGAATTTAGGTAATATTATACTGCGTATTATTAAAGGTTTATAGTAAACTTAGAGAGTTAAACAAACCTGCTGTTGTCTTTTTGACATGCTCTCTCTCTACTACTTTCCATATGAATGAGCAACATTTTCCTTACAGCAGGTGGTAACAGTTTGGAGCTGCACTGGCCCCCTTCCTTTCCCCTCCAGGTGAGAATTATCTTTACGTTAAACGCTGCAGCGAGCTATAGAACTGTGTGAGAGGAGTTTTGATGAAAGTGTACATCCGCTGCTGTGGATTTGTCCTCTGTCTGTGTGTGATGAAGTGAAATTGGATATGAGTTTCCTGTGAAGGAAACTGGGCAGAGACAGGTCTGCAGTCTGGGAAACAGTTAGCCGCTAATGAGCCTGTGTGCGAGCAACTGCTGGCTGTGAGTGTGATTTTACAAATATATGAAAGTGCATGCTTGTTATATTGATATTTGTAAATGTGATTGGTTATTTGGTGTGAGTTGATAGCCTTCATATTTTTTAAAGGGCCCTATTGTGCTCGTTTTCAGGTTCATAATTGTAGTTTTTGCCTCTAGTGTGACATGTTTTCAGCCCTTACACTTTTCCCCTCTATCCTTTTTATCTTATGTAATACTTATAAATACAAAATATAACTGCCTGTAAAAAAAAAATGAAACAGGATCTTAATAATATAGCCATCATTTTTATTATTTGTTATTAAAATATAACATTTGTCCCACAAACATTAATTCACTGAATCATCCCACTAGAACATGTATAAGGCCTCTGTTAGTGTTCATTAAGAAGAGCTACAATTCACAGTTATATTTACACATTTCTACTTTGATACATTTATTATTCTTACTCTCAACCCCCCCCCTCTACCTTCATAATCATACCTTACGATTACTTTTCATAATCATCATTAAACTCCCAGCTTCTCAGTTGTTGTGCTGTTAAATACTGTAAAGCAAGAACAGTAGCAGCAGGTACTTTATTCTGCTTTTAACAGTGTTTCCAGTCCTTATATCCTCTGTGAGAACAACATGCTCTACATCAAATTTCCAATTGTTAACATAAGCACATAAGGCTCATTAAATAATCTAATGTCATCTAAATTAAATTAAAAGTGTAGGGATTGCATGATAAGAACAATTAGCAAACAAGATTATGACTTTGCTGATCACGTCTTGTGTGCACTGCTGCTTCTTATCCAGTCACACAATCATCAATGTGTGCTTAGTCATGAGGCGGCGTTTCTTGCATCATGCGCGTGGTTCTTCACAGTGAAGTCCTCTCGCCCTGCACCAGGCGGCCTCTGAAGGCCCAGGTGTCCTGGGATTGTTAAAGGAACAGTTAGTCAATTAATCAAAACAAACCTTCTGAGTATGTCGATTTTTACATGTTACCCCATACAACTGCATTATGTAACAAGGACAATCACTCAGTTTACTAACATAGGGTTAGACATTTCTAGAGGCAGAGACATTGCGCTAAGTACCTTCAAACTAAGCAATGGGGGGCTTTTTTTCCCCCAACTTAGCTTTAGCCAATTTGCTTATGCTTTATTAGACACATTGGATGAATTGTAAAAATATATAAATATATCACAATGACCTGCTACTTGGTGAGCGCATTCCACTTATTTCTGGGATGGTGGATGATAACTGTGCTCCTCCTAACACCTATAAATGATGTAGTTAGGCTGAGCATTGCATAACAAGTCTGCTAAGTGTAATTCTAACATTAAGAAAGACCCTAATATCTGAGGTGTTGATGCTCTTAAGGTGGCCGATGGAAGTCATGCTGTTGCTACATATTAGCATAAAACTGCCACCTGGTATGTAAATATCCAATCTGACTGTATCAAGTACATTCCTGTTGTGTTGTCACTTGTAGAAGGGAACGTTTTAAACATGTATGAATGTAGATGTCTGACCTGGAAGGTAATATCGTTGCCCAACGCGTACTTCCTGTTGGCGATGTCCTTCACCTCTTGCTCTATGTTTTCCTGGGTGGTTCCCTTCACATCAATGTAAAAACAGTCAGCGCTGGCATAGTGGCAGGAGATGGCCTGGAAAAACACAATATTTACTTGAAATGTTTACAATTGCGTTATAATTAGCTTTTTGCAGCATATGACCAATCACAAACAAGACAGGTGTACAAGTGTTTCTATATTTATTCTCCTACGTAGAGGCTCTCTCCATCCATGGGTAGGTATAGAGAGCTTTTATATGCGCAGGTGAACCCTGAAGTTACCCCACTTGAACCCTACTTTGTAGTACAGGCCACAGGTGGATTATGGGTAGTGTAGTACCTTGCGGAAGCCCTGTGTCTGGTTCATGCCTGAGCCGTGAATCAGCAGCGGATGGAAGAAGACTGTGTCGCCCTTCTCCATCTCCAGGTGCACCCTGGGATGCTGCGGGTCGTAGCCACGCACTCCATGGTACATTTTGTTCACACCGCCCTGAGGAAATACAGGAAAGTTTAGGTACCTATAGCAGGTGTTCTCATGTGTGTGTTCCTGTAGCAGGTGTTCTCATGTGTGTGTGTGTTCCTGTAACAGGGTTTTTTTCATTTGTGTGTTTGAGTACCTCCCACTCTGGGTAGTCGTGCTCCTTCAGCGTGCCGGTGTGTGTCCCTGGCAGCACCACCAGGCAGCCGTTCTGCCTGTCCACCTTCTCCATGGCCGTCCAGGCGCAGACGATCTTGTCTGTGGGGCGGAAGGGGAAGTAGTGCAGGTCCTGGTGCATCGGGTGGCGAGACGTCTTTTTCCCTGAATCAACCGTTGATAATTGTATGAGGCTTCCTATGATGCTTACTGATCCCAAAATGACACTGCTGTAGCTGGTTCTCCAGATAAACAGAAACCAGATTATTGTAAATATTTTTGAATAGCTGTATACCTGCATCAGGAGGTTTGTTGATGAGCATTGTATGCATTGCCATGATGTTGGGTCCAGTGAAGCACTCCACATACTGCAGAACCTGACATGCAAAAGCACATAACAGTTTAAATTATTTCAAATTCAAGCTGCTTTTTAAAGAAAAACTGTTATTATTAATATGTTATATTAGAATTTTGATTATATTATCATAGTAATATATTTTTACTGGCACGTTCTTTTGTTGAAGAGCTGTAATCCTCTTTCCTAGGACTGTGGGATTTCAGATATTTCCACAAGTGTGCACCATCGTCTACACAAAGTTGTTCTATGGATCTCTGTATAATATGCGTGTGTGTTTTTATACCTGTGGTAAGTTGCAGTATCGGAACAGTTCAGCATCTTCCTGGAAATCCTGGAGTTTGGAGACCGCTCTTTGATCCTGAACAAACTCTGACTTAGAGATGGCCACGTCCCTCATCACCATCAGACCGGGAACTTTCACTTCCTGCCGACAGATCCGTTCAAACGCACTCCTAAAGAACGCAGACGCACAAGAACCTTCATGCATCGGTACTATTAAAAGATAAACATTTGATATGTAATGTATGCATTGCCTTTTCTTAAAGAGTACTGAAGATAGAAGGGAAATGGGAGAGATAGGGAACGACATGCAGCAAAGGGTCACTGCAGCAAGGACTGAGCCTGAGTATACCACCAGGTAAGTAATATGTCATTTCAATACAAATATACAGTATATTATTAGTTACGTCGTAAGTTCTCAATAATAGGTTCAATAAGTTTCCGATGGTCACCTGAACCTGTCGATGTCCTCTTCAGGCACCAGATTCTTGATGAGGATGAAGCCATTTTCCTCATAAGAGAGTCGCTGATCTGGGGTCAGCAGGTCAGTATCCCAGCTATATCTACCAAAGAGAGATAAGACACAACAATATCAATGTGTGAGGAAAGGTTACTGTGTGTGTGTGTGTGTGTGTGTGTGTGTGTGTGTGTGTGTGTGTGTGTGTGTGTGTGTGTGTGTGTGTGTGTGTGTGTGTGTGTGTGTGTGTGTGTGTGTGTGTGTGTGTGTGTGTGTGTGTGTGTGTGTGTGTGTGTGTGTGTGTGTGTGTGTGTATAGAGATCTGAACCTTGATCTCTTTAGTTACACAAAGCTGCTTCTGACATGAACTGCCTTTAAGCTATTTTAGAAATAGGGCTTGTTTTGTTGTTGAAGTGAATGCACCATCAGCTATTAAAATGCACACAGACAGCAGAAAAGTGAGAAATTATTTATTATTTATGTATTTGTCAGGGACAATGTCAAAACATCTGTATGGATACAATACTTAAATACAGTTAGATGTTTTGCATTTAATATATCTCCACAATAGTGACCTCACTATGTAACACTAGCGCTTCTATTGGCTAGTGCTATGGGGCGGGACATCTCTAATCACAACAGAGCCGGCAAGCTAACCAATCAGAGCAGACTGGGCTCTGGTTTCAGACAGAGGGTGAAAAAAGGTGCTGAAGGACAGGCAGTATGACACAAATAAAGAGCTTATTGAACATTAAAGCATGGAGACATGTCACAGTAGAGGCACAAAATATAAATATGAACCTGAAAGTGAGCATAATATGTTGTCTTTAAAATTAGGGGGTAGACTACCTACTCATAACAGAGTTCATTATATACAGTTTATGGTCCTACCTGAGTCTCTGAGGGTCGCTGGAGTTGAAGCTCAAAGCACCAGTCGTTTCAGCTCTCTGAACAAACCAGTAAAGGAAACGAGACAGCAACAGAAACAATTGACCTTTAAGCAAATAGTCTTCCACTTACTTAAAACCAGACTAACGTTAGCCTCCTGAGTTATTCTAAGCTATTATCTCCAACAAACAGATAGATAAATAGATACATATTTACATTTCAACCTTTAGCCTACATACTGCTAACAGCCTCGTTTAAATAACGGCGTCATTGTCACAGTGCCTTTGTTATAAACGCTAAAAGACGCATTCATAAATAATGAAAGTTAGCTGCAGAGAGGCCTTCAGTGGTACTCCCGGTCCCCGGTCTAGCCCACCAAAGCAGCCCACCAATAATGCTCAGTTGTCAGGTAGGCTACTGTCTGCTCTGCGCAGCCCCCGGTGATCCCACACAGAGAAGAAAAGGATACGATGTCGGCAGGTGGTCGGTCGAGATGGTTGATTAGCAGTCTGAGTCTCTCCGCAGCGCGAGACATGTTCAGTCGGTTTGTATCCGGGTGTGATCCGGTAAACAGCGATACGGAGCAGAGGAAGCAGGTGACCGGGCAAAGGGCAGACTGACAACAACCACTCCACCGTCACCCACTGTGGGTTATGAGGTCAGTATGCTACAGAGGTGGAGGAAGTATCAGATATTTTACTTAAGTAAAAGTACCAGAGTGTAGGAATACTCTTTTACGACTAAAAGTCCTGCAATCAAAACTGTTGCTCAAGTTAAAAAAGCACAAACCTCAAATATTCTTAAAGTACCAAAATTACTCATTATGCAGATTGGCCCATTACAGAATACTATATTATATATTTGTATTATAATTATTGATGCTTAATGTGTTTATCAAAGCTGGTTAAGGTGCAGCTTGTTTAAATTAGTTTATGCTGCAAGGTGGCTTGTGAATGTGACTTACTGCAAAGTAACTTATTATATTAAATAAATGTAGTGGAGGAAAAGTACAACACTTACCTCTGAATTGTAGTGGGGTAGGTTCAAGGCTTTTATTAGTCATACATACATAGCTACAGTGTAGGCCTAGTAGTAGTAGTAGCAACACATATTGAATAAAGTAACTACAGTTTTTATCCAGCAGGTGGCGCCCCACAAACACAATTATACTAAATGTTAGTTATGTAGTTATTAGTAATCGGTCCAATATATGCCCAATATAGACTGTTTCTCTGTGTGTTTTCCAGATTGGCTAATGGTAAATATATAATTTAAAGTAGGGAAGGAGAAATGAAATATTCATTACCTTAATTCTTTTCAACTTAAAATATATTTTCTTTTTACCCACTGCTTAATTTTTACCATGGTATTGTAAATTGTAAACGGTAAGCACATAAACAACCATCTAATAATATACATTTATTTTCAAAATGAATCGTTTGAGCATATTTTGCTTCAACATAACTATAACATTTTAAACGAGACACATGTGTAACCTTTTTATTTTTGTCTTATAAAGTGAAAGCCCTTCTAAAAGATGAATGAAGTATTTATGGTATGGTTAGTTTTTCTTAATTAAATACTTGAATGTCCAATATTTCATTGAAGGCTGACTGGAGAAAAGGAAAAACTGCATATTGAAACATTTCTACAATATGTATTGTTAGACCGCTGAAAATGTACAATGTTGCAAAGTTATGAGTTACAAGAAGCAGCATAAAGGGAAGCTATTTAAATAAAGATACCATTGTTTCGTGTATCTGCATTTCCTCCTGCTTCCCTCAGCTTCGTCAAGCTAACTACAGTTCGCTTATTAGAGCGGAAACGGGTTGATCTTGTTTTAAAATTACACATGATATAATGTAATACTACGATGAAATACGTAGATCTGCTACTATAGGTTTTTTTTTTTTTATATAATTGTATTTTTACTGAATTATTAAGGGTTTAATTACATCACATTCACTTGCTCCCGAAAATATATAAATGAAATAACACCAAAAACTACTACTGGTAAAAACTACTACTTCGATCCATTTATGCATGTGTATGTAGCCTATAACTATCTGTATATCGTGCTTTATTGACCTATACATATTTAAATAATTATTTATTATAATTAAGGCCTCTTTTGTTTTGAGAACGTTGATCTCTTAAATTGTGATGTCATAATGGTCTTATTTTGAAAGGGAACCGAAAGTCCCGCTGCGTGGTGTTTGATGTCAGCTTGCATTCCCCTCCGGTGTCGACAGAGGATCCTCCTCCAGCCTCTGTGAACTCCTCTCCCCGCCACACAAACGACATTTTGGGGGTTCGGTCTCCAGCTCTCCAGCTCTCCTTCCTCACACCCCACACATTTCCCGGTGTGTGTCGGAGGATAATACCGTTTTTATCAGAGTGTTTGGGAACGAAACCGACCTCGGACTGAACCGTGCTCCTTCAGTGGGCGGATAAAGCGGAGGAGGGCATCCGGGCCTGGCTGCTCCGGAGAGTCGACTTCAAACGACGGAATTCACCATTTTCAGGTAAATGGCGACAAATGCATTTTTGTTGATAACACCCTGACTGTCCGATATTGGACGCTACATTTCGGGCAGGCCACTAAGTAGGTAAATGTCAATACAGGGGAAACCACAGCTGAAGAATATACAGACTATATATACGCAGATATAATTGTATCTTTATCCATTTTAAAGCTTCGGTTTCACTATGTTGTACAGCTGGTGTTGTTATGTCGCGCCTCACATATTAAACATAACATCTCTTACAGTATGTCGCTTTATTGGGTGCCAATATTTTGGTTTGTTTACCTCATGTATTAGCAGCCAGTCTTGAGTGCCACATTTAAATGGAATTTTAAGGGAGAGAAGATGATTTCTGCATCATTAGTGTGATTTCTGTGCAATCAATTAACACCAATAGGTCTAATGAAGGAATTTCATTAGCACACCAGAAGAAGCAGCTACAAAAAGCCTACTGTAAAGTCAAATTATGTAATTGCACTGCAGACACACCAAAGACATGCACATAAACATCTTCATTGATCTCTTTTAAATAACCACAGACTCATGGTGTCAACACCAGATTCTACTTTATCACATGTATTTTGTAAATATGATATGATAGGTCTTCATGCATTTAAAATGATATTGCACATTCTGCTTGTTAATGAGACAACACTATGTTTCTTTAGCCATCTCCAGTGTATGGTATATCCAACAGAACAAAAATGCACCATCCTGTAAACTGTGAGATGAGTTGTTGTTTTCTAAAATGGTTTCTTAACCACTACAATTTTTAAACGTGTCAATATATGATCTAAATTTGAATACAGAATGAATGGGCATGGCAGTTGTCAATCATTATATATTATTAGCATTATTTGAATCAACAACAGATAACTATAGTTACATCGACCACCAATCATCCATTTCTGCAGCAAAGCATCCATTCTAGCTTCTTTTCCACTTCCTGTTTGACCTGGATTTACTTCCACTGCCCTTCATATGTAACAACTGGTGTGTGTGTGTGTGTGAGCATGTGAGTGTATTGACCCACATTCATATCTAGGCTGTGGGATGTGGGAGTAATGCGCCCACAGAGGGTAAAGTAGGCCGTATAGCAGCGCCTGTATTGATGTGTGTCTGCATTACGTCATATACGGTACAGCAGTGTGCTGTGAACATGTGTACGTTCACATATACACACTTTTTCTCTTGGGACTGATGGATCAGAATAGATACATTAAAGTGCCACGTGACATGTCACTGATTTGTTTTAAACGTCCTTTGGTAGGAACACATCTGGCGGAAAGCCTGGCAGATTTGTATTACTATTTTTTAAACGTTATTTATCATTACACTGACAAATAGATTGGAATTGTGATGCATTCAATGTCAGTGTGAGGCTGTCAGCTGAAGTCTTCCATACTGTATACTCCATACTAAACTGCACGAGCCCTGTCACCACATCGTTGCAATATATTCAAGTTATAGCCAAACATAATTGTAATATTAAGTATTAAACTGTACTAAAAAATTTATAATCTGAGGTTCAAAGCATTGTTGTATCCCAGCATGCTTTGCAGCAGATCTTAGTGCTATGTGGATCAGCCTCCAAAACACTGTTGCTATGGGCAACAAGGCCAGCAGTCCTCTTTTTTATCCTCCCATTTACATAACTCCAACTTGTGCACTGTTTATTGATCCGAGAGGTATATATGTGTGCATGCGTATGAAAATGTGTGTGAGTTAACCTGTTTACATCATGTTTCATCATGCTTCTCAGTGTATGTGTGGGTTTGTGTTCATATATTTGGATTAGTGCTACTATACAATATTTAAGGTCTTTCCCGCCTTTTCTCATTGGCTGGTAAATGATGACACGCACTCCCTGTTTACCGTATCCTGTTTCACCTGAGGACGTTAAATGCAGTAGAATGTAACTAAATCTGAGATGAGAGCTTGCTAACGGCCCCTGGGGCTGATGGGAACATTTCTCTCTGCCACAGGGTGGGTATCATGGAGGTGAAGTAGTAATTATTGGCTTTTTTGGGGTCTGACTAATTCTAGGGATCCAGAAGGAATACAATTAGAGTGGGCCGGGTGCAGCAAGAACACACAATTACACACATTCATAGACCTATTAAAACACACACACACACACACACACACACACACACACACCTTAAAATAAATTGACCTGCAGGTCATTCATTACTTTCCTTCATGTGGTGAGCACTCACTGTAAACTCCAGTGGTGTCGTGTCACAGTGAAGATGCTGAAATATTTATCACACACACACACACACACACACACACACACACACACGCACACACACAACACTTCCCCGATGAACCCAAACTAACCTTACTTTAAACCTAAAATTTACCTAATCAAGGTTGTAAAAGGAGGTTTTAATGTGCACACAAACCTAAAAGACAAATACACAGTGGCACGGTGCGAGTGCCAGATACAGTCAGCTGTGAATCTGACGCTCGGTACATCCCGTCCTACACAACTCTCACCATCTGCTCTCAAACTATTTTTGCAAGCCGTCTCACAGACAATTCAATGATTCTATGTGTGGTTGGATTTATCCGATTTCACAGTCAAAGATTCTTATTGGGCTCTTATTCAGTTTGAACCTCAGCTGTGGGATGTCATGAAGGACACTGTAACTTTAAACTCTAGTTTCAGTAAAAACTAAATTAGTTTCCTTTTTAATATTAAGTAAGAGTCTCTGTTTTCCCCGGCTGGTTAATCAATGCCTGGCAAACAGGCGCTTAGAATCAGTGCCAACCAACAGTCATGAAAATTGAAACACTATCGAAGCCCAGAGAGAAAAGGCAGTCCTTGTTGCTTGTTAACTAAGCCATTAGAAATACATTTTACAGAAGTAATTGCTCGATGTATCCCTCATTCATCTGAGGTTTTATTTCTCCCAAGCGCTTCACTGTTCTAAGCATCTCATTCATCTTTTTCTGAAGGGTCAGACCAATTCCAGGGAAGGGTTGTTTAGTACGCTTGCACACACTTATAATCTGGTTTAATCAGATTAACGCAACCTGTGCAGTGATAGCAGTTGTAGTTCACAAGACTCAGGACACCTATTTGGTTTGATCCAAACTAAAAGGACCAATGTGAAACCTCCCCTGACATTGGTCTGGACCAAACAGTGTAGCCTTGTTCCGCAAACGGGGTCTCTGTGGGGATAAAATTGAGCCGTGGTTTGCTTCAATCTATTTTGGCTGATTGATCGGAAGTTTTTCCTGTAAAAAGATTACGTCCATTGGAAGAACACGGCTGCCATTATCACATAGCACCAAAGATAGAAAGTAGATAAAAGCCTTCCTTCATAAATGTTGCAGTGCGGCCAGAAATAGAAAAAGCCTACATACGTTTCTTGACTGTCAGCTGCAGAGAAAACAAAAGGTGGCAGGTTTGTGGTTTCCGATATGGTCTGTTGTCAGGGTGTGAAAAGTGATTTTAATAATGGCAAAACAGATTTAAAGGTCCCATGTCATGGCCATTTCTACTGATCATAATTCCATTGTTGAGGTATACTAGAATAGATTTATATTGTGCATATTTCCAAACTCACATTGGCTTCTCACATTGGTTTTACACATACTATACATCTCTGTATAGTATGTGTATTCACTCTCTGTCCTAAACGCCTTGTTGGAACTCCTGCCCCCCCCTCCCTATGAGCCCACTGTGCTCTGATTGGTCAGCTCGCCCACTATGTTCTGATGAGTCCACTACCGTTACAGCGGAACATCAGTGATTATGTGTTACAATGGCGAAAATGACACCAGTAATGACAAACCGATGAGAATGCTGCGTGGGGTCTGGGTGCCGTGTTGGCGGGACGTTGCGCGGACAGTGTGAGCTGGGTTCATTTCCTGCTTGCTGCGTGGGGTCTGCGAGACAGCGAGACATCGTGAATGGACGCGGGAAGGGGGGGGGGGGGGGGGGTGCTGAGGGGGCTGCAGCACCCCCATCTGCGAGGCTCCACTAGCACCCCCAAAAGCCCCAGGGTCAATGGAGATGGAGACTGTGTTCAGGGGAGGTGCAGGGCGTGAGAAAGAGGATGCACGCTGGAAAAATATAAAGCAGACAGAAGAGGATGAGAGGTAATAATAGAGTCCGGTTGCTGTGTCGGGGCCGGACGACCATCGCTGCCACTTGGTTTAGCGGAGTGCATTTAAAGCTTATGGCAACTGTGGATAAACCCAAAGAGCGGCTACCGGCTAGGTCATTGTTCATGCAGCTTTTCAAGTAAAATCAATGAAAGTTGTCAGTATTTGGCTGAATTTCCTTTATTCATAGGCTTATTTTAATCAGACTGAGAGACATTTCTGTGGGAAAGCAATAAACATTTTGTGTTTGTGTCATCATAAGCTCGTTCAGTTTCCCATCTCTCTCCACTGGAATGTGCCATCTCCAGCTGTGTGTTTGGATTCACCAGCCAAACATCCATACAGGAAAACACACATTCTTGTGAGGTGTGTGTGTTTGTGCGTTGAACAGACAGGAAACTTCTAGTTAACCCTAGTCTTGTGTTGAGGTAATGAAACAGACAGAGGAAGGTGTAGCTTCTTAAACACTATCGTCGTTAATGTGTTGGCTTCTGCAAGAATTTGATTGACAGTTTAGTCCATCCAATCACACGCTAATTATTTTTGGGAGTGTGTGCCCTTTTCCAAACAGTTTACAATGGCGGCTTCTCAGATGGTTTCTGTGTAAACCAAGCCTCCAGGAAGAGCGCAGGCCATTGATGCTCATTGTTCTGTAGTGGCCAAATGGTGGTACTACACTTACGTTGTAGTTTGAGACGTCATTTGGGCCCAAAAAAACGTTTTCCCATTGACTAACATTGAGAAAAAGGGCATCTGTAAATTTCCCTTTCCATTGATTTGACTGACCAGGAGGCGGGGCTTAAGGAAAACTCAAGTTCTTTGCTCTTTCGGCCCACAGTCTGGAACTTTTTAAAATCTACAGCCACTCGATTTTGGGCTTCATGCGCCACTGTGCAACTCTCATAGGAATAAACGGAACCCAGCCTCGGATGCTGTATCGAGTTCTCTTTAAACATCCATGGTGTGAACATCTGGTTGCATGTCTATATCCAAACATTAAAAGCATGCACATACTTCAATGAGCTGACCTGTAGCATATTATGAAGCTATACACTCAGTTAGGGTTATACAGTTACGATGAGGTAAAAGATGCATCATCTCACAACAGCTGTTCCTGCTGCAGATAACTAACAGCCAAGTATGATAATCAATCACCAAGCTGACGTTTTACGATGGACCATCACATTTAGCACCAGAAATGGACACATGGATGATTCTGGTGTCTTTTGTTGACCAATAAGACTTACTTCTCTCTGTAGAAACACATGAAACCATTTTCACTTGTTCCTCTTTTGTTTCATGGTCATTGAAAACTTCCTTAATATCAACAAGTAGTTACAAGCCTATTTCAGCTCAGCCCCTGGGTCAGTCATGCTGAAGCCCTTTTTTAGTTCCTCTCAAGACAAACAAAGGGTCTTTCAGTGGAAGGCGCCCACTGCAGCGGGCAGCAGCAGTGATGTGTGTGTTCTCATCGCTGCACAAACACATGCTTGTGACTGTACCCGCTAGGGCTCAGCTGAAATGGGTGCTTGAAGGCTGATCAAAGTATTAACATTTCCAATATGAGGCTGAAGATATTTTGGGGTGATATACTGAAATCTTTGGGCTGAAATGCCTCTGAGCACGTAATCTAGACACACAAAGGACATGGGAAATATCAGGAAATATCTATTCACTTATTTGATTAAGAGGTTTCGCCATGACCCGGTTACATAGATAGGTTTAATAACAGAATCGGTTAAAATTGTAGAAGTTACGATATTTACGTTGTCCTGGTTCCTGGATGTTGCCCTGTGAAAACAAACTCCTGAGTCACAATGTTTTTCGTGTGGAAGAGTCATGCTTCTCACCTGAAGCGTTGAGAAGAAGAGCCGTAAAACTGTCAGTGAGTTGCATCCTTTCAATCGGCATTTTTGGAGCTTTTTTGGATATGTGACGTAGGGCTGTGCAATTAATCGTATTTTAATCGCAATTACGATTTTGGCCTGCCACAATTACAAAAACAACATAATCGAAAAAAACAATTATTTTGCTTTGCTAGGTTGTGGCAGTGCACTGCAACATATTGGATCTAATTTATTTGTATTTATCATATTTATATATGTTTAGTAGCTTGTTGAAGTGCGCTCCAAAATATTTGTTGATCTTGTTTATTGGTATTTATTATTTTGATATTATTTATTTAAATGTATCATTTATTTTCGTATTGGTTTCTCAGTTGAATTATACGTTCAGGGTAATCAACAGCTAAAAAGATACTGTTCAAATTATTATTTGTATTTGTTTTAAAGTTCAATAAATGGATTTTTTCAAAGTCAATGAATAATCGTATTTAATAATCGTGATATCAATTATTGACCCAAATAATCGTGATTATGATTTTTGCCATAATCGCACAGCCCTAATGTGACGCCACCATAACAAATGCCTTGGTGCCAAGTTGAGGCCAAAACTCAAGTGGTGATACTTGTCTTTCACACAAGGTTTCTTTTGAGTTACATATTGATGGTTTCGAGTATTGGGCGAATGCACATTATAAAGTTATCATGATCTGTTGTAATCTTGAATTGAAGGACATGTTTCACGGCAATATAAGATAGATATTAGAGAGTTATCGTATTTCACAATCCCTCTGATATTGTCCACATTTGTTTTATTGAAGCAGGCTTTACAGTTGTGGATATTCCTCCACCCTGCAGGCTTTTGGGGGGTGACACCCTCAGGGGCTCCTGGTCTTTGAAGTCTTTGTAGTGTTGTATATAATTAAGGAAAGACGGTGGTGCTTTGATTGTAATGTATACCTTCAAATAGGGGAAACTCTATCTGATTGCAGTGATGTAAGTCAGCCGGAGGCAGTCAAAACATTATGTTCACCTGTGATCATAAAACCAGACATTTGTCACTCAGGAAGAATCAAAAGAAAGCACCGGTGCAAGTTCAGGTTTCGCCTTGTAGCATTTAATTCAACCACTTTGATGATCATACTGTATTAGTCCCTTTCAAAGGAAACTGTGATTTCCCTTTTGTGGTCAAGGAGTAATTGGTTAATGAGAGACCCTTGCTGATCAAGGGTACTTGACTCTTTAATGAATACATTATTTACACAAAAACACATTGAGACACCAATTTCAATTTGAATGAAAATGTTATAGATAAGTGTAGGGCAATTGAGCTAGACAGCAGCCTGAGAAACCCACTTTTCAAAGATAATAGTGAAGACGTGGCAGTAAAAAAATGCTTATGTGAGTCACTGCTAAAGTCTGAAGGATTCTTTTAGATACCTTTTTTGCCTTCATTATGAATTTAACAATAAGGCTGTTGTTATTGTCTGCATATTCCACAGTTGTCTCCCGGGCTCAAAGACCAAGCTCATCTTTTCCCACAGATGGCTGAAACTTTAAAAACAGTTTACCAATATATAGTTTAATTATTTAAAATAGCTAAGTAATATACTAACAATGCTGGCTAAAGTCGTTTTTCTTTTGAAGCAGAGAGCTAAAGTTTTTTAAAGTTAAATTAAACCAGAAGTTCAAAATAATCCAAAAGGCGGGATTCAGCTATGACAGAGTATAAGAGCCACTGAAAACAAAATAATAATAATAATAATAAAGTCATAATATTCTGAGAAATAAGTCACACTTCAATAAGTCACTCTGAGTCATGTGGACTTCCTATGTCTGACAGCTCTGTGTCGCTGACAGACTTATCAATGGAGAGTTGAAGCGTTTCAGAAATGGAGACAGAATGTTGCTAATGGTTTAGCCTCGTGAGCTAACGTTAGCCTCACGTTAATGTCACGGTTGAGGCGGCTTAGCAGTTAGCGCGTGAAATACCTGCACCGAACAGCCTGTAATGTCTCTCTCCCTCTGTCTGTCTGTCTCTCTCTCTCTTGGCATCACTGTACATTCCTGCAGTCACTCTGGTGATTTCATGGCCCTTAACCAAACACAAAGACTCCGTTATGGCTCTGAAATAATTCTCTCTTTCTCTCCCATTCCTTCTCTCCCTTGTCATCTATTTCTTCCTCTTCATATTCACACTTTCACCCACACATCCTGTGTTTGTGTGTGTGTGTGTGTGTGTGATGCTGAAAAAGAGTGTGACAGTTCTTCCTCTTTTTGTCTGTCGATGTTTGCGCTGCTTTTCACAAATACATCAGTTAAGAATGGCAATATATTTAAGAATTTTGGAAAACTGTCATATTATCAAGGACACGCCATCATATGCATTAAGTCTCGGCTACAAAAATGTATCATTTTGTGTAGTTATGCTACTTCCTGTTTCAGTTTACGCTGTTACATTGAAGCTTAAGATAGATTACAACACTGCCTTAAACACGACACCAAAGGGAACACTGCTGCCACCAATTATCCATTTAAAAAAAAAAGGCAAGTTATTTTTGAGAATCAATACAGCTTTGCACAACATGTCATGATACATGTTTCTTACACACACAAAACACTAACCCTAACCCAAACTGAGGTACACATTATTAAAACAGCATCACCAAATGTGACAAATAACTATCTTCACACACACACACATTACATGTATCTCTTTGTTGTGGTTAACTGCGAAGATAAAACCAGGCTCTGTTACACTCCTCTGTAAGGGAGACAAAGAGAGCTTATCTCCGTGTGTGTGTGTGTGTGTGTGTGTGTGTGTGTGTGTGTGTGTGTGTGTGTGTGTGTGTGTGTGTGTGTGTGTGTGTGTGTGTGTGTGTGTGTGTGGTGTGTGTGTGTGTGTGTGTGTGTGTGTGTGTGTGTGTGTGTGTGTGTGTGTGTGTGTGTGTGTGTGTGTGTGTGTGTGTGTGTGTGTGTGTGTGTGTGTGTGTGTGTGTGTGTGTGTGTGTGTGTGTGTGTGTGTGTGTGTGTGTGTGTGTGTGTGTGTGTGTGTGTGTTCCAATGTACTCATTTAATTTGGCATTGCAATTTCTTACGAGCTGGAAGCTGATAGCTTATTATGAGTGTGTTCCTTGGCGTGTGTGTGTGCTGTAAGGGCCACCAGGGCCAGCATGACATACTTCCGCTTTAAAAATGTCCACACAGAGGTTAGTGGACGGCAAAACAAACACACTTTGTGGAGAAGAAGGCAATCTTTTTGAAAAATGCATTAAATAATTCAAAACTGTACTTTAGTGTGTGTTTGTGTGTGTGCTAACATCCTTCAGATAGACTGTAAAATAGGAGAGATGGTGTCGGCAGGGGTCAGTTAGTTTTGCGCTGAGTGCAGGGTGGGATGGGTGGGGTATTTTTTGCTGCTGCTTCCCTTTTGTGCACACACACACACACAACCACAACCACACACACACTTGCATGGGCCGCTAACACAGCGACACAATGAGCAGGGCCTGACTGGAGCAAGGTGTTTCCTGTGACCTGAATGACTGCTGCGTCACCACAAACAACACTTGTATGAGTTTGCAGAAGTGGATGTGGGTGTGGGTGGGTGTGTGCTAACAGATTTGACTCTCTCCTCCTTCAATTTGCCTTCATTTATTTCTCCTTGTATAAATGTGTGAATGTGAGTGTAATGTTCATCCTTTATTCATGTATTCCAGCGTTTGCGCGGTGAATGAATATTAGATTAAAAGCAGCTCTACATTATTCATGAGCTGAGATATTTTGGATTGTACGGAGACGTCCTGAATCCCACTCCTGCTTTTTCAGTCCAGTTACTGAGCCTTAATGTTATTTATGCGCTTGTGTGTGTCCCACAGGCTGCACTTGCCCTGCTATGGAAAAGATGAAGAGAATAAAGAAGCGCCTCTCGTTAACTCTGCGCTCCAGTCAGACCATCGACGAGTCTCTGTCTGAGCTGGCCGAGCAGATGACCATCGAGGACGGCGGCGGCACCAAGGACAATGGTAAGAAATCAACGGATCTGGTATGCATTTTGAAAACAAGTCTGTTTAAGAAAGAAATTGTATACACAGGATGGACATTTTTGCTTAGAGTCTCTGGTGTATTCCAAGCAGCTTATTTTAATAAGTTCTTTTTTATTTCTTTTTTATAATTTGTATATACATATATATTCTTTTATTATTATACTATTTATTTTATGTATTATTATTTCGGTGTTATTTTTTTAATTAATTTTTTTATTTGTATTATCTTTATATACATATATTTTTGTAAATGTTATTATTTGGGTGTATTTGTATTATTTGGGTGTATTTTTATATACATAAATAATTTGTTATTATTGTTATATTATTTTAATTTATTATTATTTGGGTGTTTTATTTTTATTTTATTTATTTTTATTTTCCTTTTGTGTAACTCGGAAAACAAACAAAAATGGCGGACAAAGCATTTTAAAAACGAATTTGCCCCTCCTTTAAAAAGCTACAACCAATGTTCTCCAATATTGACCCCATATGAGGATGTCATTTGTCTGTCATAGCGGGGAAGCAGCTACAGGACAAAGAAGGAAAGAGTGCAAATCTAAATATTAAACGAGAGCAATGACACATCTTTAAACTCAATTCTTGTGTACGTAAAATTTGAAATGGAGAAAACCAACAATATATTGATTTACCATGTTGGTATCCGATTTTGGTTATTGGAGATTTGTGATGCATCCTCAGATCCTGCGCAGTTTTCGGAGCAGCAGAAATGATGCGACTTGTTGTGTTTCAGAGCCCTTCATGAGGAACGGCCGCCCCCCCACCTCCCACAGCATGCACTCCTTCCTGCACCAGTACACCGGGTCCTTCAAGAAGCCTCCACTCCGCCGGCCGCACAGCGTCATCGGCGGCTCCCTGGGGTCCTTCTTGGCAATGCCACGCAACGGAAGCCGCCTGGGTGAGACACACTGTTCACACACACACACACACACACACACACACACACACACACACACACACACAGACACACACAATAGGAAGTGAGTAGTGAAAGCACAGATGGCATGCGGGAACAAACAGGAAACGTGTCATGGTGCAGAGATTTCCATCCGACGACATATATAATCGGAAACGTGCTCCTGGCCAGTGACTTGGGTTAGGGTTTATTTCCTATTAGCCAGTCGGACTGTCTACCCCCAACGGACAGCTGGATGGGGGGCGGGGGTTTAAGCCAAACATGACGCAACTGATTAATCACACTCGATTCGTAGCTGTGAGTCTCAGTCTAAAGGCGACAAGACAATATGATTCATAGGACAGTATGAAACAGAGAAGCAAAGTGTTGTGGCGATCCAAATCTACCAGAATAGGTAGAGCTTCACATTTGAAAGTCACTTGCAACTGCTACTTAAAAACAACAAAATATCCTGTTAGAGGGTATTCGTTTTGATTGACAGTCGAAGATCCCGGAGTCCAAACCGATAATCGTCAATAAAAAGACGTGGTTGAACTCAAGACTAAAGTAGAGTTCCTGTGTTTAGCTTACCAACTTCTTGGTGAAAACATGAAATGATGTCTAAATGGTCTGTGCATAGATTTCAAAAGTGTCTGAGTGGCACACAAAATAACAGGTTATTTTCAGACCCTCACTCAAAAACGTCCCCCTGGTGCCTGAAACGTCTCCATTGTAGCCCTTCGTTTAGTTCCCTAACATAGCGACATCACTATGTAACACTAACGCTTCTATTGGCTAGCACTCCAACACATTGTACATGATAGACTAAGGGGTGGGACATCTCTAAGCGGTTGACTAATCACAACAGAGCCTTCCAGCTAACCAATCAGAGCAGACTGGGCTCTGGTTTCAGACAGAGGGTGAAAAGAGGTGCTGCAACACAGGCAGTATGAGTGAAAAAAATACCTTTTTGAACATTAAAGCATGGAGACATGACACAGTAGAGGCACAAAATACAAATATGAACCTGAAAATGAGCGTAATAGGGCCCCTTTAAAGCAAACACTGAGTCTTAATCCTATTATTACTCATTTTCAAATCGGCAATTTTTTTTCAGATTGACTGTTACCTTATCTATTTAAGAAAACTGTCAGGTGTTCGATTTATAGTCATCATTGCTTTCCCAGCCTATATGATTACATGTTTGAAGGCAGCGACACACTAGAGGACCTGTTCTGGACCCTGACCTAGATAGAGGGACTTGGATCAGAAAACAGGAAGGTTAAGTAGGACTTTGATGAACCACATACTGCTGCTACCCTCTGCTTCTAGTTGCAAGCAGAGAGAATGTGTCAGTATAAAATGTTCAAAAAAACTGGTGAAGAATCAAATTCCCAGAAGTTTTAACTAGAAAACCGCTTTGGGGCTTTTTGAAGAGAGGGAATCTGGTTTGGCTGTTAGGGCAGAAAGTGAAAATATTATTTGAACAGAAAGAATTTAGGAGTTTTTGTAGGAAATGAGGAAATAAATAAAGTAGCTTGACATAAGTACGAAGAATGTGAAAGTCAAAGGAGCTTGACAGGAGAAAGAAGTAGGACAGATGCAGCTTAGGAGACGAGGCACACATGTTACAAACACACAGGTAGCAAAGGAATGTGTTAAAGCAACAGGGAGAATCACAACAGCAAATTCCTAAGAAAACCTGCATATGAGATAAGAAGATACGAGCCAAGGACAAATATGTGGATTGAAAGGGAAAGAAATGCAGAACAGGGAAGTGAAAGAAATTGCTACGGTTATCTGAAGATGGCCAAAAACATGTAAATGAGAGAGAAACAAGTGACAGAAAATGAAGAAGGAAAGTGGGGCGAGAATAAGAAAATGACCACAGAAAGAGGAAGTAGATATCACAGTGAGGCTCCTCATGTATCAAAGCAACACAAATTCTACATTTTAAGGCTCAGTATGTAGATGGTCATCCTCCAATCAGAATCGGTTCAATCCCCAGTCCCTCAGTCAACATGTAGATGTATCCCTTGGGAAAGATACTTAACCTCAAATACCTCCTGACGGTGTTTGTGTCATTGTCATTGGGAGCAGGTAGCACCTTGAATGGTAGCCTGGTGAATGCTGAGTTGTATATATAAAAAGCGTTTTGAGGGGGTCGTATATATTATTTTACAGACCAAATGGTGGATGGATTCATTGGAAAATAATTTGATCCATTGTACCGCACATGTGAAATCCACAACCCTTTATTTATACCTATTCAGAGGAAAAGGAAGGCTTCTGTTTCAACACATAAATAATGAAAATATGGTAAAACAGAGTTGGGATATTACTGAATAAGTCTTCATGTCTCTATACTTTCTTACTACTGCGTCATTATAAACTACTGTGATTGTAAAGGTGTTACCGTAATATCAGTCAACCAGACAGACTGGTTAGGTCAGATTTGAATCAAAGGGACACCTTAATGCAGATTTGTCCAATATTCCTTTATTTATTATTCATAATCTTTGTCATTGTGTTTTAGATATCGTGCATGAGAACCTGAAGATGGGCTCCGACGGGGAGAGCGACCAGGCGTCAGGGACGTCTTCAGACGAGGTGCAGTCTCCCACCGGCGTCTGTCTGAGGAACCGCATCCACCGGAGGATCTCCATGGAGGTGAGACTACTCATGCACACAGTCACTCAGAACAGCTGACTGCATTCGCCCCTCGGCCTCATGGGAGATCTGAATGTACCTTTCAAAAATCCTGCTGGCATTGAAACACCTGCTCAACTTCAGATCATCAATCATAGTTTCATCTCCTTTACCCTTATGCCCGTTTTAAACATGTTTAGTATAGTACTGATATACTACACAGATGTTACAGAAGTCTCCATACCTTCCTCTTCATAATTTCAGGCTGCTTTTTTTTTTTAAATAACAGCAGCTGCTTTTTAAATACCCAAAGCGTGTCAGATGATAAATAGACTTCAGGGACACATATGGTACGCTAGACACTTTTACAAGCTCAGTAAATACAATGGGAACATGATAATCAAATAAAACTCCTTATGATTATCAGGTGGCTCACATTCCTGCTACTTTTCTAATTTCACAGTGGCTTTGGTATGACTATTCAGACACATTCCATGAATTTCTCAATCATTGGATATATTGTGTCATACAAACCATTATATAAGCTGAGAAATTGTGGTGAATCTCTTTTCTGCTAATAACAAATGTTAGATTTTGGCTTCACATGACATGAGTTCCAATCAAATCATCTTCATCCTTATAGATATTGAACCTGAGGGTACTTTGAATAGGCATGAGCGTCTTAACCTTTAGGCTCATGCCCCCTGCTGGCAGAGGATTGACCGTGACATATACAACCATTAAGTCATTCTTATTAATATTGTATAACAAATATATATATATATAACAATCTTAGGGGGACCCATCTAGTGTTTAATACCCATATACCCACATCACCTCCATTATCATAGCCATGTTTGTCCAATAGCTTGATTTGTTGAAAAATTGTACAAATATGTTTGCAATTATGCTAATAACAATAATTTATGATTATTGGAGCCAAATATAGAGTTGCTTTTGAAGACATTTCAAATCAAATCAGCTGGACCCAAAGGCTATATTTAAGCGTTTTAACAATGAATATCAATGAATTCGCCTTTGACTAACTTTTTGATCTATACTTTCAAAACGTTTTTTTTACTTGGGTGACAAAGTGCTTCACAAAGAACCTTTAATAAAATAAAATAGAAATGCTGAGAGGACAGACACAATTACATAATGAGAGTTTAATTTAAACCCCTCAGTTGTCATCAAAGCTGTTCTCAGAGCAGCGTTGTCATAAAGGACAAAGCACTGCTGTTTATTTCTGGAGATGCCACGCTTTACTCTAACAGATGTGCTCTATTTTTACTCCACTCATCTTTATTTTTCCCACATCAGATATTGTCTCATGTTGCTCCTAGAATAGATATGGTCAGTCACCCTCGAAAAGATATGAGCCCAGTGATATTGACAATGACGGCTTGTGTTGTGAGTACAGACTGAGAATAATTTATATTACTATTAATAGACAAAATGGCCGATCGTTTTGTCTTTACTCCTTGGACTACAAATGGAAACCAGACCACTTCCTTTACCAAAGTTTTGTCAGATTCTGCAGTCACATGCCGATATCAACTGTTCATAGTCATCATCACTACAAAAATGTTAAATCAAAAGCTAGTTGCAACTCTTTAAAAAAACAAATGTATGTGCGTTTGCTTGTAGGACCTCAACAAGCGACTGTCGCTGCCGGCTGACATCCGAATCCCCGACGGGTATCTGGAGAAGATGCAGCTCAGCAGCCCGCCCTTCGACCAGCCGCTCAGTCGACGCTCCCGCAGAGCCTCGCTGGTCAGTGTGTGTGTGTGAATCTCTCCCCCTGTACAGGTCGCCATGACAACAAGCCGTGTGTGATGGATGAATCTCGAGTCACAAGTGCTGACCTCTTGTCTTTGGCCCATCAAAGTAGTTTAACACACTCAGCTGTGGTGTGATCAGGCAGGCATGTTGCACACGGTCAGCAACATGGAGGCTTATGTAAATCAGAAGTTTGCAAACAGTGAGACATAGGCTTAAAAAATCAAACAAATTGGTACTGTTTTTGATTCTCTCTGAAGGGACAAGATATGTCTGTTGGCCACTTTGATCCTGCCATACCCTAAAGAAGCTTATTTTGCCATAGATGATAGTAGAACACGTTTCATGTCTGACACTGTAAGACTCGTGGTTTTCATTTAAAAAAAAAAAAAAAACCTGAATCACTGTACAAATTAGCACTTCCTGTTATTCATTTATCCATGTTTGTGCAGAGTCAGACTACTATCTCTGTGTTACCAAAGAAAATGTCAAATTGGGATAATTCTCTGGCAAGATTTGGAGTTATAGGACTTTTTTCCATTGATTCTTTACCAACTCATGTCAAACTGAATCTAAACATATGTATTGCATCAATGTGTATTAAGATTTAAGTGACATAGGATTCACAGGGGTGAGATTTCAAAGCAAATGTAGGGGAATTGGAGTAAAGGGTTTTAAAGTACCTCAAATGCCTCTCTGACAGAAAGCCTGGAGCTGCTTTTTGTACATCATCGTTCAACACTCGCATACAATCCACTCTATAGAATAGGCTCAGATTGAGGCCCACAGAATCCAGAATGGGACTTTTAACCTAATCTCTGTCTTGTGTCTTTTCCTCAGTCAGAGATTGGTTTCGGCAAGTTGGAAACGTACATAAAGCTGGACAAACTGGGAGAGGTGAGGAATTCTTTAAATCCCATCTGATGCTTTGAAATAACAAAATATGTTTCACAGCCCTCAATGATTCAGTGATGATTGAGAAATATGTGTTGCATTCAGGGAACATACGCGACAGTATTTAAAGGACGCAGTAAGCTGACGGACAACCTGGTGGCGCTGAAGGAGATCCGGCTGGAGCACGAGGAGGGAGCGCCATGCACCGCCATCAGAGAAGGTGAGCAACAACTGTCCCAATTTACAGCTTTTACCAACTAAATGTATGATATGTTTGTCCTTATAATGATCACAGACTGGAAGTGGACATTCAATTCATCCCACGCAATCAATTTAAAGCCAGAAAACGCAATCAATAACAATTTTCTGTTACTTTCTGTAAACATATTTTTGTTTTCTCTGTAGTGTCGTTACTGAAGGACCTCAAACACGCCAACATCGTGACACTTCATGACATCATCCACACTGAGAAGAGCCTCACACTCGTCTTCGAATATCTGGTAACACTCAGTGTGATTTGTTTTCACTTTTGCCCAACCTCACATATTCCTATTGAGTACCAAACATCATTACAAATGTTAAGGGTTACTGTACTTTACAGGGGTTGAAAAGTCTGAAAAGTCTACATAAATGATATATATAAGTATTAGGAAATGATCTGAAGTGAAACAGAAAGAGAATGTTAAAATTAGCAGAAACAAGAGAAATGTGCTGCATTAGCATTGGAATTTTCGATGTATGGTCAGAAAGGCAACGTATTTTCAGAAAGAAGAAGATCTCTATCTGTCATTTTGTCTTCTTCCTGTCTGATGGCGTCATCTCTCCTTGTAGGATAAGGACCTGAAGCAGTACATGGACGACTGTGGAAACATAATGAGCATGCACAATGTGAAGGTGAGGACTTATCTTAATTAAGATGGGACTGCATTGTGTTTTAGAAGATGCAATATTTAAAACAAAGTCACTACAGTTAATGAGTTTTTGAGCAGCCCTTTTAAAAATGAAATTGCAATTATCCAGTCTATCATAAGAAAGTATATTCACATCAAGTTTTACACATGTCTTTCCAGATCTTCCTGTTCCAGATTTTGCGAGGGCTGTCTTATTGTCACAAGAGGAAAGTTCTCCACAGGGACCTGAAGCCCCAGAACCTGCTCATCAACGAGAAAGGAGAACTCAAACTGGCTGATTTCGGTAAGAGGAACCAGAGCCGAGGCTGATATTTGCTTTAGGGCAGTCAGAACAGAAAGAGCAAGAGTATTTTTATCCTGCGGAACAGTTTGATTATTCCCAGCTCTGCTTATCACAGAGGTAATGTTCGTCTCTTGTCATTATAATCCTAATATCTATCTGTTTATGTCTATGGCAGGTCTGGCGAGGGCCAAGTCTGTGCCGACTAAAACCTACTCCAACGAGGTGGTGACTCTCTGGTACCGGCCTCCTGATGTTCTCCTGGGATCCTCCGAGTATTCAACACAGATCGACATGTGGTACGAGCCTTACTAATGCTTAGTAAAGGCATGGCATGTCCATTGATCACTGTGTTAATAAACAAAATAATAGTAATTTGCTGTAGCCCTTGAAGTGTAAAGCTAAATTATATACCTGTAAACATTTCTGAAAGTCTTAGGAAAGAGATTGAAACTGGAAAGAGTGAATTTGAATGAGTCTTAATGCATAAAAAAACTAAATACACACATCCTCTATGAAGTCAAAGAGATTACATAATTTCCTTTTATGGTACTTTGGCCCTGCTTTCCGAAGTGTAAGGGGGGCGTGCTTTCTAGCATGTCTCATCCATTCAAATAATATGATGTGTGTGTGTGCAGGGGTGTTGGTTGTATATTCTATGAGATGGCAGCAGGTCGGCCCCTGTTCCCCGGCTCCACAGTAGAGGACGAGCTCCACCTCATCTTCAGGTTACTCGGTAAGCATCTCCTGCCAGGCTAAGATCACAGTACCAACCTAAAAAACTATTTCAAAACACCTGTCATTACCCGTTTACTAAACTGCTAAACTGTGACTCCAGGTACACCCACAGAGGACAACTGGCCGGGAATCACCTCCATCGATGAGTTTAAATCCCACAGCTTCCCCAAATACAAACCACAGCCGCTGATCAACAACGCTCCCAGGTACTGCTGTCTGTATGTGGGCATGCACCTGCATTAACATGTTTTTTTAATGGGCTCAGGAAATCATCATTTCATAGTCGGGCCATCCTCTCCCTTTCTCCCATTCGCCCCTACATCCTGTCAGACAGCTAACTGTTGCTCTTCCTTCTGTTTCTTCCAGGCTGGACAGCGAAGGCATCGAGCTGCTGCTGTCTTTTCTCAGAGTGAGTTCTTACATTTCATTTTCTAATCACATATACAGTAAAAGACTCCATAGCAGGAGCTAAAACCACACTAGTTGCTTTCAATAAATCAAGTTGTCATAAAGCATCAAATCACTAATTGAAACCAAACTTAACATTTAAAAAGCATTGCCATCAATCAGTCTGTTCTACATAAAGTGTAGCGGGGCGTGAGTTATGAACTATACTACAGCCAACCACTGGGGGGCAATAGAAATGTGTTGCTTAACATTCGGGGATTTGTCATTGTCAATCCTTATATAAAGTCTATGTTTAGACTTGACCTAAAAGTGAACTTTCGGTCATGCAATAAAAAGATGTGACAAAGGATAAATAATCACAAGAAAACAAATACTTTAAACAGTACAACTGATTAACATTATACTCCAAATAGCACTATCAGTGCATTTTTTGTGGACATACAGTGGGTCCCTGTTGCTACACTGTTTTAGTTCCTCTTTGTTTATCTGAGTGAATCATTGTTTCTACACACACAGAATTAGCTTGAATGAAAATGGGTGGTTTCTGTCTCCACAGTTTGAATCTAAGAAGAGGATTTCAGCTGAGGAGGCCATGAAACATTCCAACTTCCGGCAGCTCGGGATGAGAATTCAAACACTGCCTGAGAGTGAGCAAACAGTCAATACCTCTGTCTGAGGCTACTTATCTTCATTGTTTGCCTTTCCTGCTATTAACTGTTCTCCTCTTTGTTGTAGATGTATCAATATTCACTTTAAAAGAAATGGAGCTGCAGAGGGACCCTGGCTACAGGAGCTCCTCATACCCAGAGTCAGGTGGGTGGAGAAAACATTATCAAAGTCAAACCATAAGGAAAGAAACTAAATATGATCATGTGGCAATCCTCAAAATACGGGTAAGATGAGACTGATAAAGGTTGATACAAGATGGCGCTGTTGATTGCTGCTATCTCTTGAGCTCCAATTTTGTATTTACATTGTTTTAATTGTCATAATCCGACAGCAATAATGAACTTGTTACATCTGTGGTGCCTCTTTAAACTGTCTGATGTCTGGCTACTTTTAGCATATTTAACGTAAAGCTAAGGCATTATGGGTATTGTAGTTTAATAGTTTTCCCTTTTCTTTTAGGTAACAGCAAGATCAACAGGAGGCAGAGCATGCTCTTCTAATGTCAGATGAAGAGGATGTCAAACTTCATGATCCCTTCCCAACGACCTCACGCATGAGCCCACCTCCCCTCGGGTGACCCCTCCTCCCTCTTACCTGCACACACACACACAGAAATACACACACACACAGAAATACACACACACACACACACACACACACACACACACACACACACACACACACACACACACACACACACACACACACACACCCCTCAGAGCAAGTGACTCTGGGCTGTATCTGTTTGGAGACTGTGTTTATTTATTAGGAGGGAGTGAGGTTGAGTCTTTTGCTGCTAAACTACTACTGTCTGTATTTAACACACCGTGTGTGTGCATGTGTGTGTGTACATGATGTAAACTCGAGACGCCATGCACAGTTGAGCAGTCAGAAAGGTTACTTTTGTTCTCTTCTGACTAATATTCTCCGGCTTCGTTTGAGTTAAAATCCCACTGATGTTGACGTTGACGCTGTGATCCAAGTTGTTGTTCCTGTTCAGTCTCTTCAGATATTTTTATTTATAAATATGTATATATATTGGACTTTTTTTTTTTTCTTCGAGCTTCCGTGACTGAAATCTACAACATTTCAAAGTTTAAAAGACTTGGTGAGGGATAAAATGCATCTTCTGGATTATTTCTTGCCGTTTTCTCAAAAACATTTCAGTTGACTATTCTTTTGAAAGCCCCGCAGCCCCCTGGGTTTACACTGAGAGTTAAAAAGCAGACTGTGAGCGGATCGCAGTAACACTTTTAATCTGAGGGTTAAACAAGCACACACACAGACAAACTCGAAGAACAAGAAACCAACTTTTTTTGACCATTCTGGCTCAGCAACGGAAGCTAAACTAAGGAGTAGAGGTCAGTATCAGGTGGGAAGACAAGCCAAAAGGATGGATGCAAGAGGACGAATACTGGCACTGAAAAGGAAGCCATGTGACGTCCCACAGATGAAAAACCCTCACAGAACTGCCAACTTCAGTGCTTTTAAAAAAATGCAAGCAACACTTTGTCCCTTGGCGTACATTTGTAGAACTCACTGCAGTAACTCTTTGTGTTTAACTTGGACTTCAGTGTGGTTATTTTTTTTTACTTCAGGGACTTGTGCCTTGACACGGCCGAGTTTACCCAACAGTATTAAGTTGTATTTTGTGTGTGTGAACTTTGATCTCTTCTTGTGAAACTACAGAGTCGTTGTGGCATGTTTTTTTCGCAGGGGGTTTGGGGTTTCGGTCTTCAAACTAAATGGTTGTTTTCCACTTGGCGTCGGAACATTGCTCTCTCCAGCATTTGTAGCCTACTAAAGAAAACAAATATTTAAGATTGAAATGTTTAGATTTAACTGGGTTGAAAGCTGACAGTGAAGCAGGTTGAGAAGTCTCTCTATTAATTGTATTTTTCACTGAAGTGTCTGTTTGTGCTCTGCATTCCTGGTTTTTATTTAATTGCAGGGATTAAGTCTTATTCCTGTGGACTAATTGGAGTTATTGTCACTTCATAGTAGTTAGTAGTTTTTCAGGAGCTATTTGATACGTGCATTATTTGATATTTTGTGGTAATACACTTATTTGCTTTCTTTTAAGAATAAGGTCTGAAGATAAAAGAGTTGGTACAACAAATATAAAGCTAGCAACGTTAGCCTGTTAGCTTAGTTTAGCACAAAGACTCAAACCAGGGCTAGTCAATTTTTTAATTTTTTTAAACAAACCAATTAAACAAGGTATTAGTGTAGTTTAAGAGGTTATGTCAGAATGTGTTACTTCAAGAAAGGTAAGCTCGTTCCCATAAGTTTTTATGCTAAGCTAGCTTAGCTCGCCCCGGCTACATATTTATTGTTGCTACAGACATGAGTGTTTTTGTTTTTATATTTTCATATAATTTTCGTTAAGAAAGCAAACTCGTCTAATTCCTAAAAATGTCAAACTATTCCTCAGAATATGTGTGGTTGGCATCAAATCGCCTGCAGTAAATAACATCAGGAATGCATGAACAACACAGGTAAAACGTGAAAGTTAGAGGAGATTTAAGTGAGATTTGTGTTACTGTTGTATCTTGGGCTCAACATCAACATGAAAATTATGCATAGGCCTACTGTCGGTTGAGGAGTAAAGGATTTAATTAGGTAGAACATGCTAGAAAAGTGCTGGACGTATTAATACAATTGGTTATTTGTTATTAACAGAGCGTTAATGTGTTGGACGTTATCACAGTTTGCAGCTAAAAATGTAATAATCCTGTAAACATGCTATTTTTTTCATTTCAAGGCGGAAATTATGAGCTACTAATTTGATCAATTAAAACCCAACACAACCGAACAATTGAAGATACCATTTAAGGTTTGGATAACACATAATGTAAATTATTGTGTTAACAGGAAAAGTCTGACATTAATGTATTAAATGTACCCTTTGCCCCATGAATGGAGAAATCATAGGTCACTTTTCTTCCCCTCATTGTGCATTTCACGTAAAATGTATGTACTCTTTATTCATGCTTAATAAGTTATGACTTACACAACCATAACTAAGAAAAACTTCAGGATAAATTATGTTTAACTGCAAACTGTGTTTTTATTATCAGTTTATGACGGTGACATGCACGAAAGGAGATTTCTACAATGGCTTAATATTTATCATTGTAAAACTGTAAACTTTTTTCAAATGTATGAATGACCTGAATTTATGTGAACATGTTTGAATGTGCACGTATGTGTGTGCTCGATGCATGGAATTCTACTTCTGTAACACTGAGCCACCGTGAACAGTTTGTGTGTGTGACCCCTTTTTACTGGAACTATTTATTTCTCATAACCATCGAAAGTAAATTTAATCTGTTTCATAAACGGTCTGCAGTAGTTATTTAAGTGGTGGAAGGTCAAGTATACAAGAAGGCATACACAGTCTCTTTTCATTTTTCATATTTATCTTATCATTCCAATACACATATTTTTACAACATTGGCCATCTGGACAAACACTGGCAAATCCCAGCAGAATGTGGTTTCCACAGCTAAACGAATGTCCAAGAAGCAAGATAACCCAGAATGTGTCAGCTGCAGGCTTTGGTCCTGGTATGTCTTACCATGTTCACTGTGAAGCATAGAACTGTCTGTGCTACTGATGAAAGTCATGAATGTCAGGGAACAAGTTGTGGTAGTAAAACAAATCCGACAGACAAGTCTTTCGCTCAGGTCATGCTGAGATAGTCATTGTCATTTGTAAACTGACCCAATGTCTCCTGGGTTGGGTTTTTATGATATTATGTAGTCTGAAACCTGCATACATCAGTGTCACTGTCAGCCAATAATAGTGTGCGTGTCGTTACTGCTTTTTGTCACTTAATTTAAAATGAAATGTTTTATGGAGAACCAGCAGCATACACTGTAATGTAGCAGAAACATAGCACAACAAAAAATACCATTTACTTTCAGTTTCAGTAATTTGTTGGTTTCCCATTGACTGAACTGCATATATTTCAAATAATTCCAATTCCCTTATATCTCCCACTTTGATTAATTATTAAGTTGGTAGATTTTCTTATAACAAAGCTGAAAAAGTACAGCTTTAATTAAAGTATCAGATTATTTTGAAGATATTCATCAATTGGCAACAGAGCAGTTGAGGTATGAAATATGGAAAATGTCTTTGAACCTATAAAGGACATTTAAAGGCAGAGGCACTTATTGTTGTATCACAGCAGCTTTCAAATAATTTCTAAAGCAAATGTTTTGTTTGTAGAAAAAAAACTAACTTTTAGGTGATGATTTGTAATCATCCTAATATTACCAGGTTAGTTCTTTCATACTACCACCAGGTGGCTCTAAAGTCACACTCATTCATAGTGGCTTATTTGACTGTGACAGCAAATACAAGCTTTCTCTCTAAGTGCAGTCGACTGAACTTCAAACTGTGATGTCATCGGTGCACCAGTTTCCTCCTGCCGCTGACCCGTGTCCACAGGCTGCGGGCCGTCTGAGCGATGGTCCCCCCTCGGGGAAGGCGGAGGCTCCGAAGCGGCTCCCTGATGCACGCCAGCACTCCTGGCTCGGAATCTTGCCCCAGGTACTCATGTGAAACGTAGTTTATCCTCCTAAGCTGTTTGCTGTAGTAGTTCCTCAGGTCACAGAGCTCTTCAGCTGCGGTCTCAGAGATGAAGGAGGCATGGGATGGAGAGCCGGGGACAGGTTTGGTGGCAGTGTCTCCAGCTGGGGATGGAGAATCTTCAGCTGCTGCATTTTGGCGGGGTTTCCTCCTCACTCTCTGAGGGGTGGTGGATTTGCACTTGGAGGGTTTAACTGGAGTTTTCTGACCGTCACTGTTAACGACAATGTTTATTTCAACCTCAATTTCATGTTGAGGCATGATGGACATGTCCTTTTCGTCCTCTCGCAGGTCATGTTTCCTGGACAGGTTGCTCTGTTCTTTAAATAGTTTCTGTTTGGGTGGAGTGGTACAGCTGTTGCCCACAACAATGGGGTCAAAGATCACATCCATCTCCTCGTTGGCTGATATGTCCTGTAAACAATATGGAACACTAAGGTCAGTGTACAACAGTGGCCAGTTCAGTCACCATAATATTCATTATTTAATGTCCTTTTAGAGTTATATTCAATTAATAGTATTGTACCATCAAACAAGAGGAATATATATCATGTAATTTAGCCCACCTCTCCATTTAGTCAGTGAAAATATAATATTATGTTAGTACCCCCGTGCGATGAAATGTTAGACAGTTAGTGGATGCTACATTCCAGGTATGGACATTAACACCGCAGATTATGGGTAATAGGCTTGGGCGACGTATAAATTCTATAACGGTCCGAGTAAGATATAGAATAGAATAGAAAGCCTTTATTATTGCCTAGTGGGTCATAGGGCTTTCACACAATTCTAAATACTATTTGCAAATCAAAATAAGATAGTATTTATATAAGACAGAAGACCTGCCCAATCAAATGTTGGGGGTTGAGGTCCCAATAGTGTCCTTTTATCACCCAAGCCTGCTGGTTAGTAACAGTGAGATGATACCATGCCAACAGAAGCAGTTGTTAACAGAGTGAAGAATGATGGACTGTACTTTGTCAGCTTGTCTTCTGGACAGGGTGGGGGGGGGGTTAAGGTAGGTCTGTCTTGACTTTCTTGGACACAGGGGCATCTCCAGCACTTTGAACTGATCTCTTTCCCTCTTTGGCTTGGCCCTTGCCACTCACAGCTTTTACCTGCAGGTCATTAACAACAGTCTTTACCTGAGATGATTAACATGGAGTGGACTCAGGAACACTAGAGGAGAGGACACTACAGTCTGAACACAGACACAAACAAACAGAAGCCTCCTTGTATCCCAGAAGCCTCCTTGTATCCCAGAGGCCCTTTTTGTACTCTTTCAGGTCATTTTGTATACATCTCTCTCGAAAATGCAGAACGGTCTGGAGGTTAAAATGGTATTCAACATAGAAAATCGCTCATATCTCCCCCAAGCTTTGAAGGCGTAATAAGCTGTTAGCAGTGGCAATGACATGGTGGTTAAATAGAAAAGCTCTAGAGAGTCTCGGGACACTACTATGCTTATTTCTTCAGGTTCATATTTGTATTATGCGCCTCTACTGAGATACGTTGTCTGAGATTCTCTAAACTTAAACACATACTGTGAATGACACCATTTAAAAAGATGTAATGCTCATCAATTTTTGGAACCTATTCTAAACAAAGAGACTTTTTTAAATACCACTTTGAGCTGTTTTAAGAACACAAGGGAACTGTAGAAGTCTTACAAACTTACTTAGTGCAATCTAAAGTGAAAGAAATGTGGAAAAGGTTCAGTATTATCTTTGGTTAAAAAATATAAACAAACTACTTACAGCAGTTAAAACAATTGAACAGTATGATGCTCTACAATACTACACAGTGGGAAACAGCATTTACTCACGGCAGATCCACTCCCTGTCGTCCTCATGTGCATCTTGAGTGTGTGTGTTTCGACCTTCAGCAGAGGAGCTTTGCGACCCAACTTCAAGTAGAAGTAGGTGGTGTACGGAGTGAAGCTGAAATCCTCTCTGAAGTCCACAGACAGAATTACTTACTTGACTAAACGGTCTCAAAACATGTTCTCATCAACATATTTATACTATTTTCTTTCCTTACCTGAGGTATCCCTGCAGCAACAGCCGCACTATCACAGATTCAGCCTGCAGCCGAGACAGAGTGGTGGTCTGGATCATCTTCCTGCGCTTGGCTGGTCCCTTCCCTATCCACGCCTCCACCACCTTCAGAGGAGTCAGCTTCTCATCCATTGACGTCGCTATTTCCACGATTTGCACCACCTGCTTGGCGTGCTCGGTGATGTCCACTGTGGTGTAATCTACAGGGAACAAAAGGTCAGATTATTACCAATTCAAAGAGAGAAAAAGGGCTTTTTTACAATCTCTAAAGAACACATAAGACATGAAGACATTAGCACCTTTTGCATGGCGGCAAGTATCACACATCTGGTTGCATCCTTCATCGTCCCAAATCTCATCGAAATGAACGGCCATGAGAGAGCGCCGACACCTTCACACAACAAACATGCATTCAAGTCATTGTGCGTAACTATCTATCACACTATAAAAAGTACTGTGTGTTTTGGCGCGCTACCTGTCAACATTCTGGCAGTAGTCGACCATCTGCAGGAGCTTCTTCTGACCAACGTTCTCCATCACCACCATGGTGCTGATCCTGAAGATGTCAGAGAAGCCAAAGTACACGATGCAGTCTGCTTGGCGGTCGTCCCGGCCTGGAGATACACAGATTTAAAATGTTGATATACAAAAATACCAGAGGAGAAGGAACAAGTACTCTCTCTGGATAGAATGGTGTGTACCTGCGCGTCCACTCTCTTGGTAGTAGTTCTCGATGGACTTGCTGATGGTGTGGTGGATGACAAACCGTACGTCAGGCTTGTCAATGCCCATGCCAAACGCCACTGTGGCCACCACCACCTAGAAAGGCCAAAGCAATCGCATAACAGGAGTGGAAAAATGTGAAAAGCGTCAACTCGAGGGAGAAACGTGCGTCGTTTAGCTTCCCAACATATCTGGGACCACAACATGTCCATAGCAGCAAAAGTGGTTACTTGGGTCATGGTTGATGAAAAGTTGTTGGTATCTACGTGGAGGTTATTCCCCCTCCAATCTGTGAGTGTTAAGCGAGTGACACAAGGCTAAAATGTGGCTCGCGTTCAGTGTAAACACGCCATTATGTTGCTATACTGGGATCAGTTATTTTACTGTGATCATTCCAGTCACCTTAAACAGCAAACCAAGCAAATCAGGGCTTGATTTAATTAAACAAAAAAAACACCCAACGAAAAGAAATACAGGTAGGCGTGTCATACCTGGATTTTGTTGGCGGTCCATTTGCGGTGAATGCGGGATTTATCTGCGGGCTCCATGTGAGAATAGTAGGGAAAAGCTATGATGTCGCTCTTCTGGAGTTCAGACGACACCGACTCTGCATCCTTCTGAGAGAACACGTACACGATTCCTGTGGAGCACAAATCAAAAAATATATTAAGCCTTATTGCTGTGTATGTGAATAAATATACATCTTAATCCCTCTGTAGAACATATAAGCCTCAATGTGATGCATTAGATACGTTTTTTTGAGTCTTAATAGGCAGCAGTACCTGACTGATCCTTGTATTTGCTCTTGATCAGAGCAGCGATGTCACTTATTGATGCCTCATGGTTAGAATCTTTAATACGGACCTGAGGAACAAGCAACCTGTAAGTGTCACTGCAGCATTTTCAATGTGTTTAAAGGGTCTGATAGTTGTGTTAAGAGCTGCCATGGTTCCCACCTCGTAGAAGAGATTGGTCCGGTTGAAGGATGCGGTCAGTGTGATGGTCTTTGGCACACACAGGATCTTCTCACAGTCCTTGAGGACGCTGCTGGTCGCTGTGGCTGTGAGTCCGAGTAGTGGCACTTTGGGGAACTGTCTCTTTAAGATGCCCAGCAGTTTATAATCTGCACAGACAAACACAACATAATAATAAATACATAATGTAGAAGTTGAGAGAAACTAACTTCGTGTCATTCGGCTTACTAAATTAGCCTTGGAATGATTATATCCCCTCCTCCTCTCACCTGTTCTGAAGTCGTGTCCCCATTGGCTGCAGCAGTGCACCTCGTCCACAGCGATACGACTCAGCAGGTTTGCGTTGTAGGCTTTCTCCAATCGAGACATGAGCAGCTTGCTCTTGGCAATCTTCTCTGGAGTCACGTACAGCAGCTTGAAAGGGGCCTTCGGATCCGTCATTCCAGCCATGACGCTCTTGGCGTGCTCCTAAAAAAAAAGGGTTATACATTTTGCTTTTTCATTTTTTCAGATTGTGAGTTATAGATTTTACTCCGCCAAAAAATATTGTCCTTCGAAATGCCCTCTAATACTAATAATAAAAGCATTGGCCTCCAACAGGGGGTGCTCAATCTCATTTTTTAAACTATTTTTTCTGTGGAAATCCTTTTTCAGTTTTCAGGAAGATTAGTTAACGAAGAGATCAACAGACTGAAGTGTGAGGTAAAATACAACCATCTGTTACCTTGCTACTGGACGCATTTAGCATGACTGCTGCCACATCGATGGAATTCAGGTACATGATCTGGTCCTCCATTAGGGACAGCAGGGGGGTGACAACCAGTGTAAAACCTGACACAAACATACATGTGATAGGAAACCAATTTCAGAGTCAATAAGCAACATAATTATCTCATATGTGTATCTCATGTGTGTGTCTCTGTACCGTTGGAGCAGACTGCTGGCAGCTGGTAGCAGAGGCTCTTCCCTCTCCCTGTGGGCATCACCAGGAACAGATCTTTGCCCGACAGAGTGAGGTTCATGGCCCTCAGCTGCAGTGGTCTGAACGTGGAGAGATGGAACGTGTCCTTCAGGTGCTGCTCCAAATTTTCAGACCATGGAAAATCTACCAAACATTAAAGGTCACCTATTATGCAAAATCCACTTTTTCATGTCTTTTCTACATAAACATGTGTCCCCTCTGCGTAAAGAGATTCTGAAAGTTTCAGGAAAAAAGATTCGCTCACTTTTTGTCCTGATCCATTTATATAAAAACCTGTCTGAAAATGAGCTGATCAGATTTTGGCCACTTTATGATGTCATAACGATTTTTTTGGCTTGTGTAACCATTAGCCAATTACCAACCAAGGTAATCAGCTCTTTTGAAACAGGGCTGAAACAGAGGGGATTATGGGATGCTATCTGTTTGGTATTTCGAGCCAAACACTTCAGAGACATTTCTTTTTGTATATATCTGAGACCTATAATATATTGATGAAAAACAGTATAATAGGGGAAAAGAGAAAGTCAACCCACTGCCTTATGGAATCTGAATTGTATAGCCATGTGTGTAGAGTACCTGTGCCGTCATATAGCAGCATCTCCTGCTTGCTAATAACAGGAGTGGCTCCAGATGACTTTGAGGAAGACGATGATGGCTTTGCGGCATCACAGGCCTCCTCCAGCTCCTGCAGCAGGGCATTTTTCCGTTCATTCAGCTCAGCTTGCTTCTCCTGGAGATCGGAGATCTGCAGCTCCACCAACTCCAGCTCTGACTCCACAGAGTCCAGCTCCTGCTGCACGTCTGAAAAGGTACAAACACACCAGGAAAACAGCTGATGAGTTGCGTTAGAGCCAGTATTTTGTTTTTATAAGAAAGGCCACCTAATCGTGACGTCTGTAGTCAACTGAGTATTAAAGACTACAATTCCCACGGCGCCTCTTCTAAAGTGACAGTGATGGGCAACCTGTTAGAAAGACACCGTCGAGGCACAATTTGTAACCAATCAACTACTATTTAACAAGCCTTAACAAAGAAAGAAAGCAAGAAAGAATACCTAGGTTGTTTGTTATTTTATTGGAGTTTTGCCTCTTTGTTTTGACTATTGTAAAGGCCTCTTTTCTTTGTTGCATGTGTAAAAAGTTTGTTATTTTATTTTGAGCATTGCACAACATCATCCCACCATCGGAGGCCAAGCAACTCATCAACTGTAAGTAACACAAATATAAAGGAAAGAAAACGAGTTACAAATGTCTATTTAAGGCGTCTATTGGCTTGATAGAAATAAGGAAGGACGCCACGACAAGTTGTAAGTAAGTATGAATGGAAACAAGATAGTTGCAAAAGATGCAAATGCAGTCTATTTACTGTGACTATTTTTCTGAAACAGGATTAAAACGTGTGTGTACGGAGATTGTTTATGTTTTAAAACAACATATAGGTGTGTGGATGCCTCAGTAGCGTTATCCTGATGGTGTGAACAGGGAGGTGTCTGTCAGGTCTCACACATGAACAGGTGGTACCAGTCCTCTGAGGATCACACCTCCACAGCTAATGATCTCATTTCAATCTCTCTGTCCCTCCCCCAGTGTCCCTTCAGAGGCAGGGTGTTGTCTTTCAGCGGGCCCCGTGAAACCACGACATCTCATGCAAAAACAACTGCAGGATTACCAAAGGAACCGTGTGCGGGTTTACATCTTAGCACTGTTTAGTCTGAGGTTCGGCAAATGTTCGTGCATATAAAACGGATGCAAAGAAGTTGCATAAAACCTCCATCGTCTGTTTCTGACCTACCATTAGTTCCTCCACCACAATCCATATTTGGCAGACTGATATTGCTCAGGAAGGAGCCAACCAGACTTTCAGAGATGTTGAAAGGATTCCCTGTAAGACATAGACACATTCAACAAAAACATCAGTTTTCAAATTCACTTTTTATTAATGTTTCTGAATGAGCCATACTCTGGGTACTACTAACCATTTAGCAATTTTCTGATGGCACCTTGACTCTCGTTGAAGGATCATGTGAATTAATATCCCACTACTAATGGTAGTTAGATATAATATTAGTTAGATTTAAAAAAGCTATTATGGTCATCAAGTGAAACATTGACATTCTATGTATTTACCACTGCCAGTTCACCTATGAAGGCAGTTTAACTTTAACCTGAACAAAAATAACCAAAGTTACATCTACTTACTCAATATTTACGTTAGCTAGTTAGTTAAAATGCACCTGGTTCATCCAACTTAGCTGTTTAATGGTAATTGTACCCTCACAGCGACATTAGAGCATCCTGTTTAACCGACTTCAACTCTCCTGCACCTGCCAGCTTCTCCAGATAACTAAATAAAGCTTTGCTACTTTCAACGTTTCCCCTCTGTTATGTAGGCAACATTAGCTCATTTCATACGTCTGGGATAAGCAATTTAAAAAGCAAAAAGTACGTATGACTAACCATTCAGCAACTTTCATTCATGGGTGTGTAAGAGCCTTCTTGTTGGTGAATCCACTTCACGGTTGCTATAACAGACCGCCTTTAGAAAGTCTTCTTCTCTCGATTTAATGGCAGATCGCACACACCTTAGAGTGCATACCGCCACCTAGTGTACAAGAGTGTGCATCATCATGTCATTTTCCTCATGGAGTAGATCAATAATATAACCTTTTTTAGATTTTTCTTACTTAAGCTGAAATATGAAACTGTATTTTTTTGTATTATATGTGTTTTTTGTATTACTTTATGTCTACCCCACATGTTTTTGTATACAAAATATATGATGTTCATCATATATGTTCTTGAATAAAATAAAATATAATAATTAAAACAATTAGTCTTACCATCCCTTTCATTAAAAACAGTAAACAGTGCCTTCCTGGTATATCTTATGCTTTCTTCTTCTGTAACCACCATCCTTGTCAAGTTCAACTACTTAATCAATTAGCTTTTCAATTTCTGTGTCATACATGGTGCAACTTTATACATTTTTTCACATTTTCTTTAACTCGACAGTTCCCACACTTTCCCCTTTGACTTTCCCACAGAAGGAACATAGTGCCATTTCATTATTCTCAAATCTAATCAACGTCCTTCTTTCTGTTCCATTCTTGACCCTTTATAAAACTGCCTTTTGTAATTTGACTCTATGCTTCCTAAGATGAATATTGAGTCAGAGTTCTCTTTATAAACCCATGGCATAATCATATGTATTGAGATAAGCAGATCCATTCAAACCTTTGTTGCTCCCATTCATTTCTATCCATCCAGCTTAAGCCCAAACCCCAAGCCTGAGTGTGCTGCGTTCAAGACCCACGTTCAGTAAAAAATGACATTACCTTTCGAGAGTTTAGATGTTTCTTCTTTTTTGCTAGTATCTATTATTATGCAACCCAATATGTGTGTTTTACTAGAATATTAGATTTATCATATATGCACACACTATTGCAAATTATGAGATAGAGTAGATAGAGTTGCAAAGTGGTTGTTTGAGTGTTTTTCATATTCCTTTCAGCGATATAATGATTTTACATGAGTGTTACATGCAGTAGGTGGTCAGGTCCATAAACTGTATTAAATAGTTCATTCACACTGTGGCAAAAACTACTCGTAGGCCTACTTTTACTTTCAGTGGCTTCTCACACTATGCAACAATATGAACAGCGAGAGTGTTGTTGAATGCGACACGGCGCTCTTCCGGAAGATGACATCGCGAGAGGGTGTGTTTCCGGAAGACGTGGCTGTTGCTGCAGTAGCAGCTGTCATCTAAATTGTTCTCAGAAGAGTACTTGAATGTTACTTTAAATATTATCTATTTATAGTGTATATTAACCTGTTTATTCACCGTCAAGATGATTTCGCTAACGGACTCCCAGAGTAAGACTTTTTGATATTTGAGCATCTATGAATTTAAGATGCAGCTGAGCTGTGAGTTAACTAGCAATTAGCATTCAGTGCAAGGAAAGTAAGCTTACATTTTCCCCATGGCATTCCATTACCCATGGCCCACAAAGCTAAATGCTAACTCCTACTACTATAACAAATGTTGATTAAAAGTAGCACACGTTCATGTTGTATTTCCGTATTTCTAAGCTTTGACTAGCTTGAAAGGAAAGTGAACAATGGAGGTCCAGCTCCAGTGAAATTACCAGAGGTGGAGGAAGTACTCAGATCTTTTACTTAAGTAAAAAAGTACCAGAGTTTAGTAATACTTTGTTACAAGTTCAAGTCCTGCAATCAAAATGTTACTCAAGCAAAAGTACAAATGTACATAAAGTACCAAAAGTAAAAGTACCCATTTAGCAGATTGGCCCATTTCAGAATAATATATATGATATGTTTGATTATAATGATTGATGCAGCTAGCTTGAACTACTTTGTATTCTGCAGGTTAGCTTGTGAATTTACTCCAGGTGTAACTAAAGTCTGATTTAAGTGTTGAATATAATTCAAAACAACAATACAAATCTGAAAGTTAGCTAAAGGTAAACAGTCCATTACATGCAAAAAAATGGCCATGGTGTCAAATAATGGCCAGTCATATATATATATTCAGCTTCATATTCCAAATCTATGCTTATGTAACAATATCTGACAGCAGAGTGTAACCTTCCTGTTGTATGTGTTTGTGTTGCAGAGATTGGAATGGGATTAACAGGCTTCGGCGTTTTTTTCCTCTTCTTCGGGATGATCCTGTTTTTTGACAAAGCACTCCTGGCTATTGGAAATGTGAGTGTATTCATCTCATTGAACTGATATCATATGTCTTAGAAACAGGTTTGACCTCATTTCTTTGCATTAAATCCACCAGCTGAGCCCTCAAACTTGACATGTTCTTTAAGTTTTGCTGCACTGATCAAATGAAGTTTCCTCTCCTCCAGCTTTGCCGGTCTCACTTTTCAAAAAGAACGGTCAAATTTGAAACGGCAAATATCCTAATTCTAAGCTCCAAAATAACTGAATCATACATTCCTATAATGCAACCCCTTAGCATATCTTTCTTAGATCCTCCATTCCATCCTAGACCAAGATGTCTTCCACACCACACACTCACTTTGTAATGCAGAGTCTCTGTAAGGACCAATAAGAGACCACTCTCTTCCCCCTTTTTCTCCGTAGATCCTGTTTGTTGCTGGACTTTCCTTTGTCATCGGGCTGGAGAGGACCTTCCGTTTCTTCTTCCAGAAACATAAAATTAAGGCCACCAGCTTCTTCCTGGGTGGTGTGCTGGTGGTTCTGATCGGCTGGCCCATCATCGGAGTGGTGCTGGAGATCTACGGCTTTTTCCTCTTGTTTAGGTAGGAGGGAACAAACAGGGAACAAAGGGGGAACAAGCTGAGAACAGGAACAGCATACTGACAATACTAGCATGCTTTAAGACTTGTTTGACGTGTACCTCCTTTCATTAACTATCAACAGTATAAAGGAACACATAATACACAGGCATTTTAATGTTAAAACTTAAAGCAAATCATTTATATAGATGTTAATTTAATTGTGTTGCATTTCTCTGTTTCATGCAGTTATCTTTATTAGGATGCTTACTAACTTCTCTTTGCTTTTATTTCTTCCCATCATTCGTTCTCTCTCTTGAACTCTCCTCACATCCAGGGGTTTCTTCCCAGTTATAGTGGGCTTCATCAGAAGAATACCAGTCCTCGGCTCCATCCTGAACCTTCCCTTCATCAGCGCAGTACGTATCACCCGGCACTGCTGCCCCCCTGCAGCTCTGCCCTGTTTACACATAGCATGGCTTTTCCTGTTTATTATTTACCCTGTTCAAACAATGCGTCCTCTAAAGAATACAAAAATGCCCCCCCCCCCGATCCAATGATAGCTTAGCTCCTACAGCTGGTTTAATGAAAATGTACTGTGAGTTGATCTGGATTCGTTATCCACTTGAAGGAGGACTTCAAATCGGAGTAAACGTTTCCGGAATGGCTCTGAATGACTATTTCTGATAAGGGGTGTTTTGTAAATGCTGTGATGTCAGGGTTGTCATGGCATTAACTCTAGAGGTTCAAATGCATGAGGTCCGCAACGACTGCCACTTTTAACTCTAAAACTCCTAGGTTTAGCCTGCTTGTGGCTGATGGACATGCTGCGACTGTGCTATTGTGTGGGAATATTTGTTTTGAGGTGTCTCTGTCTGTGTGTTTTTATTAAAGCCTTCGTAAGGCTCTGAGGACAATCAGCAGCTGTGGTCAGTCACTGCCGATTTTCCCTTGCATGCTTACATTTTATTAACATTTTACTATATTCATTAAAGACGTGATGGAAGGGAAAGCTTTTGCTCTTGCTTAGGGAGCTGATAATCATTGTTTAACAATATTTTTAAATCATATTTGGCTCTAAAGGCACACATGATAGGTAAAACAAGTTTCACTGAAGTCCAAGTTGTCCCTTTAATGATACAGTCATTATATTTGCAATGGAAGCAAATGTTGTCCAGCAAAATAGGTTGTGTTGGAAGGTTGATTGCATAGTGACTGTTAACAGGTCCAGTTGTTGATCCACTATAGCTGGCAAAAGGGTTGTAACAGTACACCGTGATATTAAAATTGACAGTCATACGGGTCAATCTGTGTGAATTATTCCAATTGGTAATAACAATAGAACCAAAAATGGCAGGAATTTATTCTGTTTGTCCTGTTTACCTGTTGTGTGTCCCTTTAGTCCTGCATGCTTTCCATTATAACATGCTAAATGATAAGGATAGTGGTGTCACACTAACATTTTGTATTTCTTTGAGCGCTCACAGGTCTGTGTGCCAAATCATGTTATTTTTTTTTAAACCAGAGAAGCTGAAAAGCAACAAGATGATGCTTACGACTGTTTCTCTCTTTCCTTTCAGTATGTGGACAAAGCGGGAGAAAGCAACACCATGGTATAACAGACTCTTTGTACCCAGAGAAGGCTATTTGAGAACAGTAGGTTTTATAAAGCATCACAATCCCATCAAATTCCTCCCCCCCCCCCTGCCGCAGCCAAAGACTTTCTGTCTGCAATTTCCCTTGTCAGTGCTACCAATCAAAGGTTCATCAGAGCGTCGCACCACCAGTCTGTTACTAAAGGGTGGAGTTACTAAGGTCACTACAATAAATATTCCAAAAGCTATTGATCCTTTCCCTGTTGAGTGCATCTGGCACGAAAATGGAAGATGGAAGACTCCTTCAAAGCACCATCGACTCTGTCTACATGACTCTCTTACACTGTGGAAAAAAACTGTCAAACATACTGATGTTCCACAAGGACGAGAATTGGACATACAGCTTGCCATGTTGCAACATTTCTGTGCCTGTGCTTTGACTTTTCTTGGACAAAAGTCCTGCTTCTTGCAGATTTTCTGTGATATTTGGTCTATTTTTTCTTTTCGCAGCTATTTAATTACCAAGTGTGGCTTTTGTTATATTTTCCTTTTGTTACATGTCATTTCTGATTACAGTTGGCTAATGATTACTTACTTACTTCATCTAATGATCAGTGCTTTACTTCATCTCTAGTGAGGTGCTTTGGCATCATACTAGAATATTTTAGAATCGTATTGTTACAACTATTAAAGTCTGGTCACAACAGAAAGAGGCAACACCATATTGTAGATGACACATGGAAGGTGAATTTCATCCAGTTGGTGCTAGAAGCTTTGTGATGTAGTGAATACTCATGAGGCTAGCTAGCAAACTAGCTGTTTAGCTAACGGCTAACCCAATAACTAGCCAGCTACATGCTGTCACAAAAGCTATCGAAGCTAGCCGCTTTGCTAACTGTCAGTAGCAAGCAAGGTCGCTTAGTCATTAACAGGATAATACTCAGAGTTCAGTTTATTTAAGAAACATTTGTGTAGCAACCTCTCCTGTCTCATTACTGTCAACACACCATTGATGTTTAAAGAGTAGTCTTCATCCCAGAAGAGCAGGGTTGTATGAAAGTCAAATTCTGTCAAACTTGATATTTTTTAAATGTTTGCAGACTAAATGTTTCAGGTCAATTTCAACTTGGGTCTTGGTAAAAACCAAAACCAAATGTATCCCATAATGGATTAACACTTAAAAACTGGTATGATCCTGGTAGATCTCTTTAAGAGTTCACACATTAAACTCATCACTGAATGTATATAATCAAACTCTTTTACAACCTGGGAACTTCCATTCTGAGGCAACTTTACGTGCTTGTGAACCTACAGACCTTTTATATCTAAATGTTATCATCAGGTCTTAGAGAACCCCTTTGGGGGTCGAGTCCTATCCACATTCATTTGCTTCTTTTGTTTTTTTAAAACAAATTCTTCAACATTGCAGACATCAGCCACCACAACCCAGGAGCTGAATAAATGGACTATTTAACTGTGGGTTTTTCTGTTGGGAGCATCCAAATTGAAGTTACATGTGAAATGACGATGTATGTATGGCACTTTTGTTGTAAATATACTATGGAAGTAAGCTTTCTATCTGCCATCAATCTTGTTTCTGGTTGTTTATTCCTGTCCGTTTAGTGACTATCTACACACACTATGAATCAGGTTTTTCAACATTCACATACCCACATGTATTTTTTGCATATTTCAAACAATATATTTCTCCCATGTAAGCTGCTCTGCAATGGCTCCCTGGAAAATGCAGAATATAATTGAAACTCAACTAAAAAAGCTCTCAATGGTCAGACACGATCTTATTTAAAAAGAGCTCATAGTACCCTATTCCCCCACCACAACGACACGCTTCCAGAAAACAGGTTTCTTTGTCACCCTCTCTACACTTAACAGTAGGCTTAAGACCTTTCCCATGAACAAAGCTTATAATTAGGGCTGGCTCAGGCCTCCTCTCCCTCTCTATCTGCATCCATTCATCTCCATCTGCATGCAAACACATCCCAAAAATGCATGTTACCAACTCGACATCGGGGCATCGTCCCTCTCTCCTGCAGGTTTCCATGTTTACTGATTGCATCATGAAATGTTGATGCGCGTGTCGCCGCGGTCATGCTTGGCGCTTACGTTATTATTTGTGACACCTAAAAGATGTTTGACATCCTCTTAGATCGATCTTTTTCATGTTCACATTAACATTTTTGTCTTGTGTAAACGTTTGATTGATTATGGACAAAACAAATACATCTACAGCTAACAAAAGGCATTATAAACTATATTTTGGTAGCTCTCTTTAAAACCCTTTGTAAAGCGTTAACACTTTAAGCTTTTGTTGAACTGAATCTGGATTATGTAGCCTACATAATCTGCAAATAGTTTACACCAATTCAACAATAACAATCAAAAATCAGTTTCAAATATGGAGATAAAGAAACCTAGCTACCCACCTCGGTATTTAAATATCTTCAAAGGAATCTAATCAGCAATATAGCCAATTTTTACCGTACCATGGGGCTTCCCTGGCACTTAATCATATATTGTTGACCGTTTGACATCATTGACAGGAAAATTCACTTCCCTGTCTCGCTCACAGCCTCGGATAATTGCATTGGTAATGGTAAGTGTGGCCTTTTGATTCATAAATCCAACGCTCTCCTCTGTGCTCCAGTGAGCAAGGTGCAAACATATCAATACAAACACAGAGGGGGGACATATTAGTGATTACTCATTCTTATATTGACTGTGCCTTCATCACCCAGGACTAATTCACATTTGTCAATAACAGCATGCAGCTCCAACGTGTGTCATTTTGACACGGGGGAGCTGACGTGTTGATGGCAGGTGTTTTAATGCAGAGGTATTTACAAGGCTCTCAATGGAAGGAGCTGAATCGATGGATGGCTGCATTCATTCACAGCTCACCGCCCCCGTTTCAACAAATTGGCCTGACCTATGGCTGCAGGCATCGTGAAGGAGCGTGGAGCAGGGAGGGTATAAATACTGGGAGAGGGGTCCCAGCCAGCAAGTATCCTGAACCTTTGACTGCCTCCTCCTCTCTGCTGGACACAAGGCTGCAAACACCTCTGACACCATGAAGGCAAGTACAATGCATGGAAGGCTTTGTTTTAATGTGGTGGTAAAATGGAGTGTACTCCTAGATTGCATTACGGAATTTGAAAACTTTAATTGATTTATTAATACTGGCAAAACTGAGAAGCCCATGGAATTCCGGGATTTTTTTAAGCATCATTTGACAGCTGGGAAGTGTTTTTTAACAATAGTATCTGAGAGATTTTGCTTGGTTACAAATTAACACAATTTTTCTTTATTTTCCACAGGGTTTGAGGACCATCACTTTGACATATGTTGGCCTGCTCACCCTTATACTGCTGGCGTCGTTTATCTCACAGTCGTGGGGCGCACCAAAGGTAACCCTCATCATATTTATACAACTTTTGACAGTAAGGATTTCACTCAATAATGGTAAAATGAGAGCTAAAAATCAATAAAACTAAAATAGTGTTATCCAACAGAAGGGTTGGGGTTATAAACAGGCTTGGAGAGTAACTGATTACATGAAAAATGGTAATCCTTAATGGATTACAGTTACATTTACAAGATATATAGAATACTAGCAGGATTACAGTGTTACAATACATTTTTAATTAAAGTAACCCTCCCCAACTTCTCGCCACAACAATTATAGATAGACGTACTGAATTAATGTTCTTTATAGTTTATATTTAGGCTACTTTAATTCTTCATATGTTAAATAATAATATATATTTTTTAATGCAGTAGGTGGACACCTAATTTATTAAACAAAAATAAAGTTTGCTTTTAATTAATGTATAAAGCTTAAACACCATTTGTAAACTATTACTGTTACTACATTTTTGATTTGAAATATCTTGTTTTTCCTTTTTTGAAGTTACATTGTTAGAGTCACTTAAGTAAAAAACATGTCATTGTTATTTTCTTTCCCTCTTGTTTTTATTTGCATTGCAGTTGATATTGAGGTTATCCAAAAGTAACGGAAAGTAATCAGGATACATTACTTTTCTATTTTGATACTCCGATTAGGTTACTGATTGCATTTTTTTCACATGTAACAGATTACATTTTTAAAGTAACCCTCCGAACCCTGGGTATAAAGCAGAAGCATCAAATGAATTCAGCTTTAAGATGTGTTTCTTCATTAAAGGGCTCTTTCCAACGGAGAAACTGGACCCCGCAGGCTATGCTGTACCTTAAGGGCACTCGTATGTATTCACCTACTGATCCGCTGTCTGTATGGAGACTCAAAGTGTTCAATGTTAGAAAAGAAATACGAGAATTTCATTCAATCAACAGATCAAGGAATTCTATTTTGAAAGGATTTTTGTTTAATTCTGTTTTATTTAATAATTGCCAGTATTTCTATGTATCCATTAAACATGAAAAACAAGGCAGTCAGTCTATTTGACTTTGTGATGAAATAAGAAGAGCGATCATTGTGAAAAAACAATTCCATTTAATGAGTTATTCTGCAAAACATGTATGTTTATTCATCTTCTGAATCTTGTGTATCTAATATCTTGTGTATTTATTTGACAATTGTCTTGCTCTAGCTTTAGATAAGTTACGTACCTGTTTCTACGTTACATTCCCGAGCGTTGGATACCTTTTAATCTATTTTTGTATTACCAGAGGGACGAAGATTCATCTCAGAGGATCGTAAAGAGGGAGATGTCTATGACACATTACACTTAGGTAGGACGAATGTTTTTAAGCAAAATTGTAGATTTTATTAGAACATTTATTTTATGGGAAATATAAGAAAGTTTCCCCAAGGGCTTCCAAAAACGGTCTTAAAAGTGGAATCCCCCTTTGGCCCATTAAGCAGGTAGATAATCTTTGTTTGCTGTTTTTTCTCCCCGTCAGAGACCCGCAGTCAGAACACAGAGAATCTGAGCGTGGACCAGGCCGCCACCGTCCTGCTCAACTTCCTGCAGCAGACCAGAGAGGGAGGTGAGAGCTAAATCTGTTCATCTAACACACAGCAGCTGGATCCATTTCTGCAGGTCGCACATGAAGGGAATAAGGTTTGGTTACAGAAGAGGAAGAATGAATAAATAAAGTCAATACATGTAAATATTGATCTAGCAATTAGCCCTTTATGATTAAAACTCGATATCCTACTTATATAACTTGAAGCTTTAGTTAGTTAGTAGTGCATATCATTTTTTCTTTTTGGGAGAAAAAGGCAACATTGATTCTGTTCTTCTTAAATTACCAGTTGAAAAAGCTTTTAGATACCGTTTTTAACAGGTTACGCTCACACATGCATCCATTTCAAGGATCTTCCAAAACTCACACATGCATCCATTTCAAGGATCTTCCAAAACTCACACATGCATCCATTTCAAGGATCTTCCAAAACTTTCAAGGGTTTTATTGGTTAAATTCAAGAAAACTGGGGTAAAGATACAATGAACAGCATGATTGTCTAAATGAAGTCGACAAGGACTTTGAAAGGTTTTAGATTAAAGATTCTATATTTTTGCTCTGTCTAATACACAACAAACATATATATTGTATATTGTTATTCCACAATGTAATGTTAATTTTCTCTTTTTATCACCCAGCTAAGGAGAATCCAAATGAGGTGTATTTCCAGGAGCTGCCGGTGTGGAAGAGAGAATACTTTTGATCGTCTTTCATACATTTCATTTCTTCAGTCCTGTGTACAATTCCAGTTGTTTTGTATAAATAAATTATCTGACAATGTTTGAAATGTGATGTTTTAATAAAAGGAGTTTGAATCCATAGCACTATTGGTCTGATATTGTCAAAGTGTTTTAAACTTCCATGATAGAATATTCAAGGTATGTTTCAAAACCATTATGACACCCAAAATGTCCTAAAGGTCATACAAATACAGTATTTATGATGACATATCAAGTTTACAAATAAATCAAGGTTTGATGATATTGTCATGTAAATGAAGGATGTTACCAAAGAGAGAGTTGCTGTTTTTTAAGCATCTATTTTTTTAAGCGTAATTTTGCAGGTCAAACTTCATTCTAAAAACACAATTGTTGTGCAACTTCTCTGAAAACAATAGGTGAACATAATGGTAAGAAAGTAGAAAAAACAAACGTTACATTTATAAATACCTCCGGCTATACGGATACAATACATTTTATGGTAATACAGTATATGAACCCAGCAGATCTAATCAGCCAACTTCACTGCTGGACTTTGTTGATTAACCAGCATCTCAGCAATGTAGCATACATACTCAAATATTACGTTTTCACTTATATTTGGCTAAAAGATGACTAAATAATCAACACAGCCACTCAGGGTTGTAACTTGTAACATTTATTTATTTGTTATATTCATTTCCTGATCAATTGAGGACAACATTTGGTTGTTTCTTTGTAACTCGACTGAGATAAAACAAGTACATTGAAACACTTATGGGCCAAGACCGTAGCCTTGGGGAACACCACAATTAAACTCAGCTTCAAAACAGTATTCTAGGTTATGTGATGGACCTGATCAGGTCTAGTTGTTCCAATACAGCAATATTGCAAGCATCCAATGTCACAACACTTACAGGCCTTTCAATATTTTGTCCCTAATCTACATTTTCCGCTTTTATTATTTTTACAACTGTCAGAAACAATGGGTGACTTACTGTAAGCCTGTTTATAATCTTCAGCTTCTAATAGTCAATCTCAGTTTCTTGACTCTCTAGGTTGCTTTTACTTGCCCTCCTGTACGTCCCCCAGCACAAAGGGAGCCTTGATGTTCAGTCGATCCCTCTCGGCCTCTTCATCTTCATCATAGGGCTCATAATCATCGTCATCATCATCATCATCGTCATCCTCCACATCGCTGTGGTGGGGGGTGGAGTGGACGGAGGCAGAGGGAGAGGCGGGTACCGAGTAGGGCCGAGGGTAACGGAAACCCTCTGTCTGTGGACACAAAGGTATAACTTCACATTACTCTGCTACCGTAATATTGTCTGTCTTCCAATTTAATATCCATTTGTATCTAAAACAGCTGACAGAGACTTTGAACTTTAATACTTCAAGCAACAAGATTATCCATTACAGTCAGTTGCATTGTAGATTGTAGTGAAAATTCACTTCAAAAGGTAAAAAGCTGCAATGTGTTTCGAGAGTAAATTTCATTTTCATTAATCTTGCTATTCCTTTCTTTCTTCCTCCCCTTTTCCAGCCACCTGTCCGTTTTCTTGTCTCCTTTTACTTCTCTTTTATTTTCACTAACATCCCTTCCTTCTTTATCCACTCTTCCCCTATTAAAGCCCAACTCATACCGTCTTGCCTTTGATTTCCCCCTATTCCCATTTTCTTAATTTCTTTCCTTTCTGTCTTGTCCTTCAAATATGTATCAAGACTTAATATTTTGCATCAAATATCGGTGCCCAGCGATGTACGTCATCACACTCCACGATGATGTCCTGTCATTCATCCAAATGTTAGGCTGTCAATTAAATCAAAACGTTTCCACTGTGTGTGTTGGGCAGTACAGGAGACTGATTCTCATTGCTTATCAAGTGTAATAAATAGATCCAAATAAACAATTATGAATATTGTAATGTGAAATAATATCAATTGGTAGCCGCTGTTTGAAACGCCAAATAACCTACAGCCAAAGATTTTCACCCCTCCCAAATAGGAGGATGACACCCATTTTGCATCCCTTTGTGGACATTTGATTTACTTTTAAACATCATTTTATCTACCACTTCATATTTATTTTTCAAATTATGAGCAATGCCTTGTTTTAACATGCTGCTGTGACCAAACAAACAACCCTAACCCTAATTGGGACAAATAAAGTATATCTGATCACCTTTTAGTTATCAAAAGGAAAATAGGGTTACTGTAGAGGGTATTTTTTAACATGTATATGGCATTTTCAGCAATTTCCCATGAACTAATGCATGAACTGCAGATACAAAATGTGATGGACATTTCAATTATTCAAAGAAATTATTTAGATGGAGCGTTGATGGTATCCATTCTCTAGTTCTGTCCCTCATTCACAAATTCTCCATTTTTTTTTTTAACACATTTCCTTACCTTCAAAGAGGCCATGGGGTCCATCTTGAACTTGTCGGGGAAAGCCCTGTTTAGTGCCAGATGGCGGGCGTGTACGTAGAACTGCAAAACACAAGTCAGCAGAGATCTACATCAAACAACTGTACAACGTTTGACCGAACATCTTGGCAAGTTTTCTTTGTTTTGTTTTGACATTTTTAAAGATATTTTTCATTGTACTAACACTAAAGATAACTCCACATTTACATCCAGTTGAAGAACATAATGGTGTTTGTTCCAATCAAGCTCAATTTCAAACAACGGTTTAAATAAATAAAAAAAATGTAGGCAGACAAACGGATTCAAAGACTGCTGCCAAACATCTATTTTGTGCCGATGCAGGGGAAACTGACCCGTCCCAGGTATCTCCAGTCCAGCAGGTCAGACAGCCTCTCTGTTCGGTTCCTCTGGATGATGCGCTGGCGCAGAGACTGCTGGCAGAAACTGAACATGAACTGGGTCAGCTGGTTACACGACTCTTCAGCTGAGCGGAAACGGCGGTCCACGATGTAAACACCTGACAGAGACAGAAGAGGGAGAATAGACCAGTGTCAATCTAAAAGTCCCTCAAAATGAAACGGCTCTTGGAGCTTTGAGATGAATCAGTAATAATAATACAACGTGTGTGTGTGTGTGTGTGTGTGTGTGTGTGTCCACACCGTAGGCAGCAGGGTCTGACACATGCTCCTCCATGAAGCAGCCGAATCCTGACAGGTTGGTGGTCACACTGGGAATGCCCATAACAGTACACTCACCTGGGGAAATACAGCACAGCTCACAAAGGGTACGGTATATTTGTAGTAATGTGAATCGGTATCAGGTTAGAAAACACCCAATCAAAAAGCCCTTAAAACGCTCCTCGATTCGTGGCTGAAGGAGCGGATTGCAGATTATACACGATGTTTACATCTAAGTCAGTTAACAATAGCTCATATGCCTTACCGGTTCCACAGAATTCACAAGGACTAATCCTTCATTGCCTCATGTAGAGATTTGTAACTGCAGTGCATCTGAATTTCAGTAACATGAAACGTCTGTGTGTGTGGATATATGTGCACATTGAAATGATAGGTTACCAGGTGTGTAACCCCATGGTTCATAGTAGGAGGGGAATACTCCAAGGTTGCATCCACGAACAAAGTCTTCGTAGTCCATCGGCAGCAGAGGACTGGTGGAGGACAGGAACTCAGGGTGGAAGATAATCTAGAAGATGGTGTAGAAACATGAGAAGTAAACATATTCTGTCACTACCAGGATATTATTTATCGATGTTTTGGTACCTTCCAGCACATTTTTGGATTCTAGTGGCTTTGGTTAATCCCTGATTTCTACTCTAAAGCCTCTAGAAGTGAGTTTTCACAAGATGTAATGCATACATTTTTGTACAGACATTGGTGGTTCCACGAAAACAAACCCTTTTCCACAAACAACACCTTGACAATGACAATCTTGTTTTATTTTGTGAATTAACAACGGCCTATAGACTCTAAAAGCTGCTAGAATGGCTGCAAACGTTTAGCCTCTTAAGATTCTTTTTACGAAATTATTTTCACATGAAGCCCTTCTTGTTCCGACCAAAATGATGTCAGAATTGTACTTTATTATCACCAGGCAATTTGGAAAATTCCCACAGACTGACACCAGAAGACAAGACAAAGAGGAAGCCCACTGTCTACCTTGACGCGATCGTTCCTGGAGTTGAACAAGCCGATGCGTCTGACGTTCAAAAGAATGGGATCTGTTGCGTCGTCAATCATGTTGTGAGTGGTTACCGGAGGGAGGGTGTGTCTCTGCATGGAGTTTTTGTTCAAAAGAGTGGACAGGTGTGTTTTGGTCATTTTTATTTTTCAAGACTCGTCAAAAAGATGCCAGTATTTTTTTTTAAATTTTGAATAGAAGAATATATAGGGTCCATTACCTGAGTGGCGTAGATGGCTCTCTTCATAATGGTGAAGTCGTCTCGATCCAGAATGGAGTTCATGTCGGGGATCTGCCCTCTGGACAGAGCAAACAATAAAACACGAACATGGAACACACATTATCATCATTCATCAGAGAGGACCAGTGCAGATGTACACATTGTAAAATCAATAGGACTGTGGGTTCACCTACAGTGTCATACTTACTTTAGCAGAGCATCATACAGCCTGTTACCAAACTTCTCCTTCACAGTGTGAGCTGTATCCCTGGGAAAGGGAAATGGAAACCTTTTTTAGTAATGTATGTTTTGATTTATTAAGTAACGGAGACTCGCAAAACCCAAATTCATATGCTGAACATGATATTAAATGGGAAACTGAGACCGACTTGTACAGTATGGTTGGTGCTGCAAAGAAAAACATTTGTAAGGAGCAATAATGACCACCCCCTCTACTGTAATAACAAATACAAAAGGAATTTGGATTTTGAGAGACCATGCTGTTAGTGGAGGATTTATTTGAAGGTCTAGAGGTTTGTAAAGTGGCTTACAGTAGGCCTGTCAGGTTACCAGTAGGATTCCCTAAACTAATGTTGTTCAATATGATGTTTTAGCAATGCTCATGTACATTGTTCAACCAATGTTAACTTTTGGTACCATAAGAGAGTAATATAGGTAATCAAAACAATCTTCAGTGTCAGTCACACTGTTTTTAAACCTCAACCTACCTGTGCTACACCAACCTCACACCACTTATGATCTTCGGCCCTGGTCTAAATGTTTGTTACTGTATAGGTTACAGCAGAAGAAAGCTTCTCTGTCACTGTAATTACTCAGATCCGATTATGGTTCATAATTTGCATCAGAACAATATCTGCTGATGTCTCAATTACAAGTTGATTTTGAGTGTTAGATGAAGGCTTTATATACATACAGTAAAAAGTGCTTATACCGCATGTTTGTTGGTATTGAACTGTTATGTAAAACAAATCAGGTCATACCACAGCTGCTTGCGTACCGCCTGTCCCTTCAGTGACTCCACATTGAAGTTGTTGGTTTTAGCTGGCATGATGAAGAAAACTACCACTGTCATATCATTTTTGTGGACCTGTGGACAGAGTGAGAAAAGATGAAACAGGGGAAC